TTTAGGCTATTCAAGGCAGTAAATGTTTGGCTGTCTCCGTTTTTGAGTCGGTGGCCTTCATCGCAAAGCAGTAACCCAATCGGAGTGTCCTTAAGTTCATCGACATTGAGCCTCAATGTCTCATACGACACAATCAGAACTGGTCTGACAACGGCACGCCCTGACGAGACTGCCCATTGTCGGAGCTGGGATATAAGCTCCGCTTTGGAAGCTTTTCCGTCAATAACAAAAGGCGATACTGCTCCCTCCCCCAACCATTTGACTACAATAATCATCAGCATTAGAAACCATGCTTGTAGAATATCTCGACATACCAAGTTCGTTCGCCCAGTTCTTCACCAGCGTCGATGGGCAAGCAATCACGCACTTCTGAATGGTCGTTTTACCCGCCTCCGGAGATTGCTTAAGCAGTGTCCATAACAGAGTAATACATTGGAGCTAATATTGTATGTATTAGCACCACGTCACTTCGGTTAAATTCATTTGGCCGTACCGTTTTGCCCAAACCCATCTCGTCTGCCATAATACAACCATTGGCCTTGGGATCGATCATACCAGTAGTACAGCGATATAAGAACTAACGCAGGTCAGCGGTAAAAGTCACATCCAAAGTGACAGCAGCCGTGTTGATAAAAATACCTTCACTCCCTCCACTTGATGCGGACGCAACACCTTTGCAAGTCTAGGATCAATAACAACCGGAACTCTCGGACGAGCGTCAACCTTCTTCTTAATTCCAAGAATATCCGCCAAACTCTTATGCACAAGTGGTGCATCCAACTTGGGGGGATCATTTTTCTTCTCCCCTTCCTTCCTTTCTTCATTTCCATCATTAGCATCATTAGGGTCGACCGGCTTATCATCAATCGTAGGGTCATAAAGAACAATCGCAAATTCCCCGCTGGGATCATGCAGCGGTTTAACAACAAATGTCGTCCCGCTCCGCATCCCAAGAATGGGAGCTGGACGATTCGGATTATAGGCGCCGGAATTTTTATTCATTAAAGGGATGGAAAACCGCTGCTTGAAAATCTGCTCTTTATCCTTCACTTTGAATGCAGGGAACCTATTTGCATCGCGGTTCGCGAGGGCAAGTCGATCTTCGTTGGTCCATGGTTTCTCCCCATCTTCCGCCTCTCCGTCCGCTCCCGCATAGTTGACTTTTCTTCTTTTTCTAGCGGGCTTATCAGAGGCCCGTGTACGTAGCGCTAACCCGGGACATTTGAATGGTTTATTGAGCCTGTCCGCTGAAGGTTTTGTTGCAACGGCTTCCGAGGTCTTCGGACGGGGGCGATGCCTGGGGAGATATTAGCTGAGGACTTCATCAAAAGATCCAATCAGGTGGAGCAGAATACATTTGACTAAATCACTTCTACATTGAAGTGATAAAATAAAGCGAGAGTCCGGTAAAAAGACGACGTTGTCGACGAGGAATTACTGAGCCAAACCCGTCGAAGAGCTCGCTCGGACGCGTCAACGTTTGATTTAACGCGTTTGCTTGCCAAGCTTTCATCACCAAAAGGCCACGGAATCACATGACACACCCCACCATGGATGGATGCCCAGTCCTCCCGCCATTGAATTCATCCAGCTTTGCCTCGGCCCCCTCGATATACATGATGGAGACATCTATCTCGAGGGCCTCGAGGTGGACAGCTATAGATCCATGTCCAATGATTTCTGGGCTGGCTACCTCAGCGGAGCCATTGGCATTGTAATCGGAAATCCCCTCGACCTGGTGAAGACCCGTCTTCAGGCAGGGCAGGCTGCCCCCGGATCACTGCGATCTCCCCAGGGGTTTAGGAGCCATTTCGACACTGCGAGTTCTCTCGTTCGAGGTTAGTTATACTATACTATGTGGAGATATTGTTGCGATTTTATTGAAAACGAGGGAAAACAAATTGAAAAAGCTAACCGGTCATGTTCAATTCTCCCCCCCGTGAACAGGCGCAACCGCACCGATCCTTGGATATGGCGCCCTCAATGCGATTCTCTTCGTTGCCTATAACCGGACCTTGACGGGTATAGTCTCGCAGCCCGTACCTGACCCCACTAACCCTGTAGGCGTTCCGCTGTATCAGATATGGGTTGCGGGTGCTGTCGGTGGACTTGCGAGCTGGGTCATATCCTCGCCGACCGAGTTGGTAAAGTGCCGAGCGCAGCTTGCTTCCCACCAATCGATATCGTCATGGACTGTGACGAAGGATATTTGGAGAAGACGAGGATTTAGGGGACTATATTACGGAGGGGGAGTTACGAGTATCCGAGACTCGGTGGGATATGGGTTCTAGTACGAAAAATAATAATTTCCGCTCCCTTACCTATGCCTCTTTTTCGCTACTCCCTTATATCTGCCCATATATGTGCACTCAATTTCTTAACTCCGCGTTATTCCGTTCAAAAAAAATAATAGTTTCTGGTCCTACGAACTATGCAAGCGCCTCATGACAAGCCCCGACGAAAGCTCTGAACAAACAGCGGCCAAAATCCTTATTTGCGGCGGCATCGCCGGCATTGTCACTTGGGCTTCTGTATTCCCGCTAGATGTTATTAAGACACGGCTACAGGCACAGGGTTCGGCGAGCTCGCTTCTTCCCGGCGTTTCGACCGAGAGACAAAATCTGCTACGACCTTCCGGGAACGATGGACGTATACTGAGTACTCTGGGGATAGCAAAGGAGGCATATCGCACTGAGGGCCTCAGGATATTCTACCGTGGTTTGGGCGTGTGTAGCTTGAGAGCGTTTATTGTAAATGCTGTACAGGTATGTGATTTTGGTGATTTCACAAGTATATGTTTTTGGATGTGCTAACCGATTTCTCGAAGTGGGCGACGTACGAGTGGATGATGAAATTCCTCAAACATCCTGGCAGTGCATCGTTGATGGAATGAAACATGAGATATGGTCGTCTCCTCGATGAATTGTTTCATGAATATATATAAGTTACATAGATGTCTATATGTTTTGATGATCTTGCATGTTCGCTGGATTTTGGAAAAATATATTCGAGATATATTTATATATAACTGGTTGCCTCGCAAAAAGAAAAATCAACCTACACTGTTTTGCTTAACCCGTAGTCTATATTATTAGACCATCTGTCCCTGTGGGTTACCCTTGATAACTCCATGACTCCAAGAACCAATTTCCCGAAATTCTCCTCCGTATATAGCCTCCTCAGATCACCCATGATCAAAGCGGCCTAATAATTATGCTCCATGGTAATGGCCAGCAAGCGAAAGGAGAAGATGTGCCCCTCCCCCGTGACTATGCCAACCAGAGGCTGGCTATTCCGTTTGGGAGGTGTAAAGTCGCCGACCATATTCTCCCGTAAATGTTTCCAGCACTTTCCAGTTCATCATCATATCGTCCAATCATCATTAATAGAAAAATGTAATTTTCACTCGATCATTTCCGATTCCACAACGTCCATAGCCTGCACATCCCGCGTCCCATTATCCGTTCCCAATCCAATAGCAGCTTCCGCTATCTTTTGCGAATGTGGTTCTTCCTTCAGGAGACGGAGCCTATTTATATTCACAACTTTCAGTCAGTGATATTGATTTTCCCTCCCCACATCAAGCAAGTAAAATGAATATCAGCCATGCCCCCTCTTCCCTCACCCTTTCTCGACAGTAATGTATGAACAATTTTTTAAGGCAGGAAGAGAGAAAAGAGAAAAAGATAACGCACCTCCGCTTATGATTCTTCCCCCGCCGATGAGCCACGAGATTATAATCACTTTCGAACCATTTCGCACACTCGACACAGTAATGCCTGCCTAGGCCAGGCAGGTCTTCTGCGGCCTTGGTCTCTTTATATTGGGAAAGGTGTTTGGAGGAGTTTATGTCCGCGCAGACTTGATCGTAGTCTCTACAATCGAGAAAGTCGGGTGGTCAGTGTCTGGTTTCATGCCGGACTGGTGGTAGTAGTAGTAGTCAGAGCATAGCAAACTCACCTCGTCCGTCGTTTGGTCTTTATTCTTTTCGTGGCCCCCATTGTTGCGATGGTTGAGCTTCTTGTGATGTGAAATGTTTCAATGCGGTGAGCTTCATTACTCCCGTTGTCTGCGAAATATTTAGCACTATTCCATTTTTGTATCGGAGCGCTAAAATATTGTTCCGTGCACAGTGCAGCTTAATATTCACGTGCACAATTAAATGACACCCCGCGCTTTATCGAGCCAATTCAATGCTCCGGAAATAATCAAATTATTATTCTCTGGAAATGAATTTCCCAATCCCCCACGAATCCAGGAAAATACAAGAAAGTCCCCATCAATTATTGCTGAAACGGATGCAGAGCCGAGCAAATCCCGTAGAATCCAGCGCCAAGCCCGCTGTCTTTTTTCCAGCTCTGTGACGCTGGATGACGTTTTGGCTGGCCGCGGCACCCCCCTCCAAAATCCAAAATTACCGACCAGGCAGGGCAATTATTTAGTTGCTAGTTTATTTGCTGTGCTTTTCTTTTACCCTTGTCATGCAGGTAAATTAGCCCCGTAGACTGTCTCCTCTGCTTGAGGTTACAGTAACACTGCGTGGTATACGGAGTACATTGGGCAAAACAAAAAAGTTGATCACAAGTTCCAGCTTAAAAACTGGCCTGGGTGGGAGAGAGTCAGAAACAGATGGCTGGTGATTGGCTGGGAATTTTATATTTTCCCCAATAATATTCTGTTTCTTTAACTGACTTGATGTTGATTATTTTATTGTTATTCCAAGATACAAGATACGAAGCAACTGGTGTGGGAAACGAAGAGCGGGCGCCGGACGGGAGGAACTGGGCAGCAGCCAGTCACAGAGCTGGGATTTGCATTGCTTGGTCTGGTCTGCAGGTCAACAAAAAATTTTCGCTCGGGTGGTTGGATGCCCCACAAATCAGATTGCGGTGCCGCGAACAAACCAAATGCGGGCGGGTGGTCGCCAGCTGGTGTATTGATGTGTTTTAATTTCATACATTTAGGGGCGGAACACAGCCGAGCTTGCCGGATCATGGCGTGCAAACTGGGCGTTGTGCAGCCAGTGAGAAGTATTAATACCTGGATATCGTAACTGTAAAACCATGTAATATTACTATACCTGTACTGAAACTCACATGTATCGCCTAGTCCAGATTTGGGTCAGAGTGACTTCACAGCCCGAACATTCGAACATAAGCTCCGTTGTGCTGCTTTTATCTTGCTTCTGATTCCTGTTTTCATCTTTCCTCCTCCTCTCCCCTCCCTCCCTCCCAATCCAATCTTCTATCTCTAATCCCCCCTTCTTTTCTGTCTCACGGCCCTCGTCGAGTTGCCTGCTTTGCCTCGACGTTGGATGTGCTTCGACGTTTAGCAAGATAGTTCAGTGTGCTTACAGAGCAAGCTGCCATCATGATCACAACCCGGATTGGCCGCCTAAGTGCGCTGGCAAGTGGCTCTCTCTGTCCTATTCTGCCAGTCATTTCTGGAGAATCTTCTTCAGAAACAATTTGATCTTCGTTCTCGGTGTCAATTTGGCCTCATTGGATATAGCTAACATGTTCTCTCGATAGGCCTCTAAATCCCGCGCCGTAAGTGGCTTGAACGCGGACAGACCTAGCGTCGTCTATCCCACGATCTAGGAACCCATACATGGGCTCCAATTGCTGACTTGATTATTCGAACCAGATTTTGGGCGCGCGGAGTATGGCCACCGTCAACGATTCTCCTCTTGACAAAAAGGTCGAGATGTGCAATCATGAGAAGGTGAGATTCTTTCCCGGGCAAGTTCGCCTCGTGTAGTTTCGGGAGTCCTGGAGCTTGCCTGTCTGTGCCAAATGAAGTAATCCCGTTGCTAACTATACTCTACAGGGTAACTACATCAACTACAAGTACGGAACATCTTCACTCTATCTTGCAGGGAGCTCATGTTGTCTTGCGGGAACAATGCGCAAAAGTTCAATCCTCTCCGGCCGGATTGGCCCAAATAACTTTTGCGGATTTCCCTGATCTGGAAACATGGAGCTGCTAGCTTCCGTGGAACCAGCCGTTTACTAACACACCTTTTGCTCCTTGCAGGAAAATGGCAGAGAACCTCGACATTGTTCGAAAACGCCTGAACCGCCCATTAACATATGCTGAGAAGATTATGTACTCTCACCTTGACGACCCCCATGGACAAGAAATCCAGCGCGGCAAGTCTTACCTAAAACTGCGACCGGACCGTGTTGCCTGTCAGGATGCCACTGCCCAGATGGCTATCTTGCAGTTCATGTCCGCTGGCATGCCTTCAGTTGCTACCCCTACAACTGTCCACTGCGACCACTTGATTGAAGCTCAGCTTGGTGGCGAGAAGGATCTTGCCAGAGCTAATGAGATCAACAAGGAGGTCTACGACTTCCTTGCATCTTCTTGCGCAAAGTACAATATTGGATTCTGGAAACCCGGATCCGGTATTATCCATCAAATCCTTCTGGAAAACTACGCTTTCCCCGGAGGTCTGATGATCGGCACTGACTCCCATACCCCCAACGGTGGTGGTCTTGGTATGGCTGCCATTGGTGTTGGAGGTGCTGACGCTGTCGATGTTATGGCCGGTCTTCCCTGGGAATTGAAGGCCCCTAATGTTATCGGTGTCAGACTAACCGGTGAATTGTCCGGATGGACCGCTCCCAAAGGTAAAGTATCACCGCAATCCCCCCCTTTTTTTTGGCTCCACTTGGGGAATTTGCAGCTGACAAGTGTAAATAGATATCATCCTGAAGGTCGCCGGTATTCTCACTGTCAAAGGCGGCACTGGCGCTATTATCGAGTATCACGGACCAGGCGTTGACTCTCTCTCTTGCACGGGCATGGGCACCATCTGTAACATGGGTGCTGAAATCGGTGCTACCACTTCCGTTTTCCCCTTCAACGACCGCATGTATGATTACTTGAAGGCCACCAAACGCCAGCCTATCGGCGACTTTGCGAGATCCTATGCTCACAGCCTCCGTGAGGATGAGGGTGCTGAATACGACCAATTGATCGAGATCAACTTGTCTGAACTCGAGCCTCATATCAACGGCCCCTTCACCCCCGACTTGGCAACCCCTATCTCCAAGTTTAAGGATGCTGTCAAAGAGCACGGCTGGCCCGAAGAACTCAAAGTCGGTTTGATCGGCTCCTGCACTAACTCCTCCTATGAGGATATGTCTCGAGCTGCTTCCATCGCGCGGGATGCCCTGGACCATGGTATCAAGGCCAAGTCCCTCTTCACTGTTACTCCCGGTTCGGAACAGATCCGTGCAACCATTGAGCGTGACGGCCAGCTGCAGACCCTCGAGGAATTCGGCGGTGTTATCCTTGCCAATGCCTGTGGCCCTTGCATTGGACAGTGGGACCGTAGGGACGTTAAGAAGGGTGAGGCCAACTCTATTGTCTCGTCCTACAACCGTAACTTCACTGGACGCAATGATGCCAACCCTGCCACCCATGCTTTCGTCACTTCCCCGGACCTCGTTGTTGCCATGACCATTGCCGGAACCCTCAACTTCAACCCCTTGACCGATACTCTCAAGGGCAAGGATGGCAAGGAGTTCAAGCTTAAGGCACCAACTGGTGCTGGTCTCCCATCTCGCGGATATGACCCTGGTCGCGACACATATCAAGCACCACCAAAGGATCGATCTGCCATTTCCGTCGCTGTTTCCCCTACTAGCGACCGCCTCCAGATCCTGGAAGCGTTCAAGCCATGGAATGGACAGGACGCTGTTGGAATTCCCATTCTGATCAAAGCCCAAGGCAAAACCACCACTGACCACATTTCCAGTAAGATATTCCAAGCCTTTTATTCCTGCTCTGTCCCCTCTTTCCCCCATCGACCAACCAAACTAATCGATTTTCTCGTGTAGTGGCCGGCCCCTGGTTGAAATACCGTGGCCATCTTGACAACATCTCCAACAACATGTTGATTGGTGCTATCAACGCTGAGAACGGAGAGGCCAACAAGGTCAAGAACTTCAAGACCGGCGAATACGGCCCTGTCCCCGCCACTGCCCGTGACTACAAGGCTCAAGGAATCCCGTGGGTTGTCATCGGTGACTGGAACTACGGCGAGGGAAGCTCCCGAGAACACGCTGCTCTCGAGCCCAGACATCTTGGAGGCCTCGCCATCATCACCCGAAGCTTCGCCCGTATTGTAAGTTAAAAGCTCGAACCTAGGTGATGAACGAAAGGAGTTATGTACTGGCCAGTCGTCACTAACATCATATAGCATGAAACCAACTTGAAGAAGCAGGGTATGCTTCCCCTCACCTTCTCCGACCCAGCCGATTACGACAGGATCAAGCCCGATGACATCGTTGACCTGATGTGCACCGAGCTCGCTGTTGGCAAGCCCATGACCCTCCGTGTCCACCCCAAGAACGGCAAGAGCTTCGACGTCTCACTATCCCACACCTTCAACGAGTCCCAGATCGAATGGTTCAAGGATGGAAGCGCCCTGAACACCATGGCTAAGCATCGTGCTTAGAAAGATAAATCCTTGGCTACATTCATTTCCGACTATTCATAAAAAAATATAAATTGCAGGGCATTTGAAGAAAAGTTGGGAGTGTAGGTATTTACAGTGTCTTCGTCTCTTGTTTATGTATGAATACGTCTCATATATTTTGCTTTTGCTCTATATATAACGCTTGAAAGGAACGGGTAAAATCTTGGGCAGGGAAAGGTTTAGGTAGGGAGTAGTTGGCGTGGAGTATAGGGCGATGGAGTCTTACGAGCCTAGGGAGAATATATATTTCTATATTCGCGGGAGAAAAGCTGGGAACCTGGGCGAAAACGCTATTGCATTGTGGAGAAGAGGGCAGTAGAGTCATCACCCATCGACATCGCACCACAAACCGCAACACGCTGGATTCAATTTTAATGGGTCTAACCCTGGACGACCTACTCCCCCTCTCACGTTCCTACATCGCAAACGCGTCAAATATTTTACATGCACAATGTGTCAGCGCAGGTCTGTCCATCCAGAATCTATCTAAGCCAAACGAAAAGGCTAGGAGGGTTGATCTGAACACATCGCAAATATCGGAGTTGGGTCCGCGGTTGGGAACCAAAAAAAGAAACCGTTGAACCTGCCTCCCTATCTTCATATTTTCGTTTTCATGGTTTCTGCGTTTTCCCCTCCTCTCCTCGCATTTCTTTTTTCAAACCTTTCCTCTTCCCCAACTCTCCCTCCTGTACTGTACCGATCCAAAATTTCGCCAACCTTCACGCGTTTGGGGTTATTTTCTTTATGTTTATCCATTTTTTTCACCCCTAGTTTATCTTTATGCACTATTCCTCTACTTGTCTCATTTTGTTTCTCATTGGTTTGTCTCAAGAAATGTGATGAAAATTAACTCAAATTTTACTGTTCTTTCTCTTCTTCCTTTTTATCTCTTTCGTTTCTTCTTGTCTATGTTTACCGTGTTTCTCGTTTGTTTCTTCTTTATATATATATATATACGTAACTACAGTACATATGTTAGTTATATGGATTTCTTCCATTATATATATGTTCTCTCCCATATATAGTTTATGTATTTGCTTCCTTCCTACGTCCTCTACATTTTCATCGGGAAACAGTCGCAACGTCCATCCACTGTCAAAACATTCAAGATTCTACGAAACAAATGTAAATCGATCCTTGCACCTGCAGTCATGTCTGAACGTTGGAAAAAAAGGGAATTGCAGGATACAGAAGATCTTTATAAATCCAGGCAGGAAATTTCAAACAACTAAAATCCTGCGTAAAAAGCCTCGGAAGGAAGGACTGGCGCATGTTTTTTTTGTATGTAATTTTGCTGGGTATGGAGTAGAAAGAAATGCCGAGGTTCTGGGACTTTTCTACCCATGAACAGACCGCGCAATAATATTTTATGGCTTTTCTCTACTTTTCATACTGATACATACCGTTAAGACTAAGTATTCAACAGATATTTAGAGGACGAGCTGAGATTTACGAAAACTATCCCTATATGCTAGGCAGGTAAATGGAGTGAGAGGTTTGTATGTATTATTGCACATGTATTCTTAATGTCCTCAAGTTCTGTGTAATGTATTGATGTATAATCTGGTAATTACATACAGTTCTCTCGCTGTCCGGCTATCATCCTCCCAGGTATCGATCTCTATCAAAGCGGGACTCTTGAATTCTTTTCCTTCTCTCCTCTTCTCCTTTTCTCTCTCAATCATATATTCCATTTTCTTCAGTTATTGATTTATCATTATCCTCCTCACTTAAGGCAGACTACAATCATTCTCCCAACCCTTCTTTTTCGGTCTTTCTATCCTATCACATGGAGCTTTTAAAAAAAAATTGGTGTGAAAAGGAATAACCGAAGCACCCCCCTCTCGATACTATAAATTGCTCGTCAAACCCATTTATTTCGGATTTTTTATTCGGATAAACATTTTACATACACACAGAGATCGCCCAATATCTTCTGTCCGGAATTACAAAACTGAAGATTTAACCGTTTGGAGCTTGTTAGCCGGTACTCACTTTCAGGGAAAATCCCAGGCGGGGTGTAAAAGTACCCATGAAATCTACTTAGCAGGAAAAATAAACTATTTATCACTTCCTACATATTGCTGGTTCTCAGGAATTGAAATCGAGCGAATAAGGATTTTTTAAAGCGAAGGGTGAAAAATAGTGCAGAAAAATGGCTGCGCAGCTATTTCCATTGCCCGAGGTGGAAAGATTGAGCGCATCGGTGATCAGGCTGCTGGCGGGGAATCCTGGGAAGGTATGTATATACAGTACAGATATCTTGTTGCGATTTTGCTAACCCCCGCTCTAACTCTAGTACACACTACAAGGTAAACGAAGCCTTTGATATCTCAAAATTTAAACCCGACGGGGAGGAAGAACCGTCTTTTTCGGCTCCTGAATGCTGACATGTATCCGCGCGCCCAATTGCGCCAAAAATACCATATAAAGGCACAAACACATACCTTGTCGGCCGGGGAGCCCGACGTCTCTTAATAGATACAGGCGAAGGCCGACCGAGCTGGTCCGCCGCGCTCAAAGCGCTCCTGGCAGCTGAAAAGGCCACCGTGGAGAAAGCACTGCTGACACACTGGCACCGCGACCATGTTGGTGGCGTCGGGGATTTACTGAAGATGTGCCCAGGGGTGCAGGTGTATAAGCATGATGGGGACAAGGGCCAGTTGGCTATTGAGGATGGGCAGGTTTTCAAGGTGCAAGGAGCTACGCTGAGAGCTGTACATACGCCCGGCCATACGGAGGATCATATGGCGTTTGTGCTGGAGGAGGAGAATGCGTTGTTTACGGGTGATAGTAAGTAGTATTTCATTTTTTTGCTGATAATTATGAGGGGTTTTTTTGGTTGCTCTATCTACTGTACATGTACAACCCCTGGTATCTTTTTCGTTTTTTCTTTTCTTCACTCTGCGGCATATCTGATGTTTATCTATTTCAGATGTGCTTGGCCACGGAACAGCGGTTTTCGAAGACCTTGTCGTTTATATCTCTACGCTGGAAAGGATGCGCAAGCTTGGTGCGGGCAGAGGCTATCCTGGACATGGAGCCGTAATCGAAGACTGTGGAGCTAAGATTACGGAATACATTGACCACCGGCGTCAAAGGGAGGAGGAAGTATTTCAAGTGTTGAAGTTCGGAGGTACGGACAGCAGCAAGGTGGGGACAGCGGCTGTAGCAACAACGCAAGGAAAACCTCGAGCATTGTCACCGATCGACTTGGTTGCGGTTATTTATCCCGATCTCGCGGAAGAGCTGCGTTTGTCGGCTTCGCATGGTGTAATCCAGGTACTACTGAAGCTGGAGCGTGAGGGCAAGGTAATGCAAGAGGGAGACTCGGGGAGATGGATGGTTGGGGGTGGGAAGCCGGCATTATGATTTCTTGCTCCTTCTAATTGATTTTAAATTCCCTTTGTCATTGTATATATTATATGCCTTATACGTGTACATTTTATTTTGCCTCGAATTGCGTCATTGAATTCGATGTTAATATAGAGAGAGATACATGTTGATATACCGACGATATAGTTGCAGACGTTTTCACCACAGCTCAACCTGCCTCATCTAGGAGCGTTTCACAATGAAGATTCCTATGAGGGAGATGTACGAGAAGATTCCTGCACGAATTTGCTCTAATAATACATATCAATAATAGATTCCCGGCTGTGGAAGCATCGAGAAACACCTACCTCGATACATGGTGCATTTAAGCTTCGAGTTAGTTAGGGTTTGCCGTCGATGTGAGGCTGCCCGGGCTCGGCAACGACGTCAAGATCCTGGCCAGCCCCAAACAGCGCCGACAATGGCCAACATCCAACATCCAACATTGCGTCCGGGCTGCTGCCAACCCATGGAACCTGTCTCCCTGCTGCGCCCTGGATTCTGCTGTCAATCTTCTGCCCGTTTAGCTTAGGTCCATGACGGGAAAAAGGGTGTGCCGGGCTTCTTTCTCTCATCGCATTTCGTGCTCTCCACATCCATGAAGTCAACTCCCGACTGATTCCTCTCGCGCCGTCCCTGTCAATGCTCCTTCATTGAGCTCCAATTAAACAGCTCCGTATTATTTCTACCTGTGCTTCTTCTCTGCTGCCAAGGAAGTGGCGCCAAATCAGCGTTGTCCTAATAATTCCTGTATAGGCTCTCCCCCTGTATGGCGGTTGGTACGTAAACGTGGGGAACTTTTTTTTCTTATTCCTGGATCTGGTGTCAAGAGGCGAAAACCTCACATCCTCTGTATCGATTATTGTCTTGTACCTTCATAATCAAACACGGATTCTTCTTTTGCGATTGCTCTATAACTAACTTGTTAGGTTTTTGAAAATTAAATCTCCAGCTTGCGGTGTTGATTCCGATATTTGCCCCGCCACAGTTCCATCCCACCTACGAAACCAAATCATAACTGTTCACGAACTCATATTATTCTTATCCTAATTGCAAATTTTGCACCATGACATCTCTGGAAAACCCCCTCAAGGAGGATGCCAGATTGCTCCTGGTCTCCAACCGTTTACCCATCACAATAAAACGATCAGACGACGGTAAATATGAGTTTTCCATGTCGTCGGGCGGTCTTGTCAGCGGACTAAGCGGCTTATCAAAATCAACGACATTCCAATGGTACGGGTGGCCTGGCCTGGAAGTGCCAGAGGATGAAATTCACTTAGTGAAAAAGAGATTGTCCGACGAATATGATGCGGTTCCTGTGCTGATTGATGATGAGTTGGCGGATAGACATTATAACGGCTTTTCAAGTAAGGGTGTTTCCTTATCCTTATGTTCAATACCTTTCTGTTCCTTCTACGATCTCGAACTACCCTAGCCTTAAATGATGTCATAAGCTGATTTGATTTCTCTGAAATTGTGCACCAGATTCGATACTTTGGCCTCTTTTCCACTACCACCCTGGCGAAATAACGTTTGACGAGTCTGCATGGTATGCCTATCGAGATGCAAACCGTCTTTTCGCTAAGGCTATTGCGAAAGATGTGAAGGATGGTGACCTTGTATGGGTCCACGACTACCATTTAATGCTATTGCCAGCAATGTTACGGGAAGAAATCGGAACGTCGAAAAAGAATGTGAAGATCGGATTTTTCCTACACACGCCTTTCCCCAGCAGTGAGATATATCGGATCTTGCCCGTCCGGAATGAATTATTACTAGGAGTGCTGCACTGCGATTTGATTGGATTCCATACTTATGACTACGCACGACACTTCTTAAGTAGCTGTTCGAGAATACTGTAGGGAACTCCCCAACAGCCTTTGTATCATGACAATGAGTTTACGCTAACACTTGAGAAATAGTGGCCTATCGACGACGCCAAACGGTGTCGAATTTCAAGGCAAACTCATCGCAGTGGGGGCATTCCCTATAGGTATTGACCCGGAGAAATTCACTGAAGGCCTTAAAAAGGAGAAGGTACAGAAACGGATAGCTGCCCTCGAGCAAAAATTCCAAGGAGTCAAGTTGATGGTCGGGGTGGATAGGTTGGACTATATCAAGGGCGTTCCGCAAAAATTGCATGCTCTCGAAGTCTTCCTAACAGACCACCCTGAGTGGATTGGAAAAGTGGTTCTTGTCCAGGTTGCTGTTCCCAGCAGACAAGACGTGGAGGAATACCAGAACTTAAGAGCCGTTGTCAACGAGCTCGTTGGGAGAATAAATGGCAAATTCGGTATGTCCGTCCTCTCTGTATTTGGGTCAAATTAAACCTAGGATACATCAAATTCTAACAATCGATCAAGGCACTGTGGAATTCATGCCAATCCATTTTATGCACAAGTCAGTTAACTTCGACGAACTAATTGCGCTCTACGCCGTTTCGGACGTCTGTGTCGTCTCGTCAACAAGAGATGGAATGAATCTTGTTTCATACGAATACATAGCAACCCAAAAGAAACGCCATGGATGCCTAGTCTTATCGGAATTTGCCGGCGCCGCGCAGAGTCTTAACGGCAGCATCATCGTCAATCCATGGAATACTGAAGAGCTTGCCAGTGCCTTTCAGGAAGCTGTGACGATGAGTGATGAACAGAGGGCTCTCAACTTCTCCAAGCTTGATAAATACGTTTCGAAATACACAAGGTTCGCTCTCTGATTGCCCCCTAATATTTCTCCCGACGGGGAATATTTTATAGTGGATTGACCATCTGTTGCTAACACAATAATAATAGTGCGTTCTGGGGACAATCCTTCGTCTCGGAGCTTACAAGAATTTCAGAGCACGGGGAGAAGAAGCTCCGACTGAGAAGCTCTTCAAAGGTTCCTGAGGAGGTGCCTAACAAGGCCGCGGTAACTCCCATGCCCAGTGGCGATGGCCCGAAAACTGAAAATAAACAATAAAGAGCTATGAGGGTAACCGCGAAAAAGTCCCTTTTCAAGAACAGAATATGAATAATTACGAGTTTTAATACACTTTCATAAGCGTCACAATGGCATTACCAGGGAGTGCAACCTATATTTCAAGCTGAAGATGGGGGTGGACATGGACTTGGTCGTTTTCTATCTATAGCATTTATTTCACTTCTACTTTGGCTGGTTGGGTTTTATTTACAGGAGCTAAGGTTGTTTGTCCCCCACAACTTTCGTTCCATCCCTTTTTCTTTTTTGTTCTCTACTGCTTTACTTTTTGATGCTTCTATTTAAAAAAGCTTTCCCCTCCTTTCCCAATCTATTTCTTACCGCGAAAGCCCTTCATCATTATCTGCCGTTCAGAGTAATGATACAGCACGTTGTCATTCAAGCCAGTCTTTTCTTGTACATACATAAAGCATACTTATTCCTGTATATTTATACGTCAAACGCAAACATATAGCAAGGTTTACCAATTGTTTGAACATTCATCATACGCAGTCAACATGGTTGCTCTTTGGTGAAGAATTTGGTGGACGCCCCCGGCTTGCAAACATGATAAACTCACGTGACCTTAAACTTCTCACCAAAAATCTGTGTTCAACGACCTTCACGACAGCGACGATAGCAACATTCTTGGTATAGGAACGTGAGGAGGGTCATATTCCCCAAATTGCGCGTCCATTACCGGATTATTCAGAACCTCTTTACGGGATTTCCGGCGAATCCTGCTCAATTGGACCCCTGCAAATCCAATCCGAAACCACCAATCGAGGCGTCCTTCCTTGACGGATCACAAATTTCAACTCCAGATTACCGCCAGTAATATAAATCTGAGAATCCAATTGATGCGCTCCTTACCTACTCTGGACTGAGAGCTGCATCGCAAAAAAAAGGAAAGAAAAGGGAAACACCCGCGGCGATAAGTCCTGGGATCCACTCAGAAACGCAACAATGACTCCAAAAACGATCCTCCTCCGCGCTTCAGCGCGGCCATCCATTCTCATCCCAAGCAGTCGCGCCGCTGCTCCCCATCCCGCCACCTGCTTATCCGCTCTACTCTCCGCCATGCAATTGCGGCCTAACAGCCGTCAAATCGCCCGCCGGCCCCTCACCACGTCCACACAATCCACGCAACCGACAGCGCAATCATCGTCATCAGCAGCCTCCTCAACAACGCCACCACCATCACCTCCATCCTCCTCCTCATCAACACCACCACCAGAATCACAACCAACAACAAACCCAACAACGCCCAGCGCCCGGCGCACCCGCCACACCCTAAAATTCGGCACCGTCCTCACCGCCGGCCGCATGGATAAAACCGTCCGCGTCCTGCACAAGCACACAGCCTACCACAAGCGGCTACACAAATCCTACCCAGCCAGCACCATCTATCTCGTGCACGACCCGTGCAACTCGCTGCGCCAGGGAGACGTGATTGAGTTCTCGAGCGGGTGGCGCACGAGCAAGAATGTACGCCATGTTGTGGAGCGGATCGTGGCGCCCTTTGGGGAGCCGGTGGAACAGAGGCCGCAGGTGCTTAGTTGGGCGGAGCGGGAGGCGTTGAAGGCGGAGAGGGAGGAGAAGGCGGGGAAGGTTATGAGGGTTGGGAGGGTGAAGAGGTTGGTTGCGGAGAGGTTGGAGATTGAGAAGAGGAGGGCGGAGGAGAAGGAGGTGGTGTAGCGCGTGGTGGGTGTTGAAGAGGCCCAGGTCGGGGAGGGTCTTGGTGCGAGATGTATGACCCTTTTTGTTGGTTGTTTGGGCTGGGATATTAATGATTAAAGGAAGAACGGATGGATGCCATTAGGAAAGATGGTGAGGATCCGGTGCTCGTATGTATGTATAAGCTGCATCAGACAGTTTTCTTTTTCTTTTTCTCTTGCCATACTTCTTTTATTTTTGAACCTGTACAGTACAATTCAGCTAGAACCCAAATTATAGTGTTTGAGAGACCAATATTGTCCCTTTCCCGCGTAATTAATTATATATACACTTTGCTATATACATAGATGATTTTCTTTTTCCTCCTTTCTCTTCATCCATATATTGTGTAGCTTCCGCCAGCTGAAAGCTATCCAGGATTCGTGAGCGGAACCAATGCCCATATTAGAATGATAAAATAAAAAGGCCTGAAGCAACCCCATCTCCAAGTCCAGGAAGGCATCCCACAACCGCAAGATCATGATGAAAGAACAAAACCAATGCCATTTATCTCTCCCATATATATACATATATATATATATCGCAAAGAACAGCAGAGCCGTACCTAGAATGCAGAGCCGTGTACAGACAGATAACATGCTGAAAAAGGATGGTAATACAAAACAGGAAGAAAAGAAATAAAATATAATATCCAACGCCAAAGGGCCCATCGGATCACAGAAGCATAAGCGCCGTTAAACAAGGGGGAAAAAAGCTCACTAGGTATCAGACCCAGATAACCAAACCAAAAAAGATAATGAGTAAATGTCAGATGAACCCTCCCCGCGCGCGATTGGGGAGATAAAAAACGAAGAAAGAATCAAAACCAAACCCAGCAAGCTGCATCCTCCTCCCATGATGAGTTATATAATACAACCACACACACGGACCGAGGGACCAGGCAAAAGCAAGGCCACTCGATCCTAATCCGCTAACCGCCCCTCTCACCAAACTCCTTCGCCCAGTCCTCATGTTCCTTGAGACCCTCCCGACTAACGCTGGGCCGAATAGAAGATAGAGACGCTTCGAAGTCTGCGAGGCGGATGGGCCGGATTTGGTCCATGGGGGTATAGAGGAGGGCTTCGCCCAGGTTGCGCAAAGGACCCATGGCGGCATCTTTTGCCAGAGCGGTTATGTCAGAGCCGGAGAAACCTATTTTTGGTGTCACTTAGATTAGGCAAAGATGATTTATGTTGCAAATGGATTTGGTTTTATGCAGATGGGAAAAGGTATGGCAGGTGTAGAGCTAGGGTATGGTAAAAAGAAAAGAAAAGCAAAGAAAACTCACCATCAGTAGCCCGAACGAGAGCCTCAATATCCTCACTCGATAGCTCATGTTTCTGGTGACTCAACAAGCGTTCAACCTGCGTCTTCCGCACCCCATCCTCCGGTAACGGGATATACTGTCTCCTGACAAACCGCCGCCTGGCAGCCTCATCATATCCCACGGCATATTCGTCGCAGCAAGCACCAACACCCGACTCGGATCGCCCTCCTTCTTCTCCTTCTCCGATTGCTCCCGCCCAGCCGCTGCACGCTGTAGGTCAGACCACTGTATGAGAAACTCCGTCTTGGTACGTCGGGACACTTCTGCTTCGCCGGACGCGGACCTTGCGGAAAGTAAGGAGTCAATCTCATCGACGAATATGATAGAAGGAGCCATGTGTTTCGCCAAACCAAACAGCGCACGCACAAGCTTTTCGCTCTCACCATGCCATTTTGATGTTAAGCTTGATGCTGATACGGAGAAAAAGGTTGAGTGCGATTCCGTAGCCACCGCTCGGGCTAGCATCGTTTTTCCTGTTCCTGGAGGCCCGAAGAGGAGCATCCCCCGAGCAGGTTCGCGGAGTCCACTAAACAGATCCGGCCGTAGGAAGGGATATACTACGGCCTCTTTGAGTGCGTTTTTAGCAATTTCCAACCCGGCAACATCATCCCAGTGGACTTCGTCTCCTCTAACCACAATATCATTCAGGATTTGCCGGGCTGCATTCTCGTCAATTCCCTTGGGAAGATTCTTCATGACATTTTCAATGCTTCTACTGCGTTCTGCAGTATCTGATGACGTTGGTGGTTTGTGTGATAACGAGGTATTAAGTTGATGATGGAATTCTGCCCCCGCCCTCTCCGGCCTCTTGCTATGCGCTGCTGAAGATATTTGAGCAGGGCCAGCGCGCATGCTGCTAAGCGCGCTATACAAGGCATCGTCATTACCTACCAGTGGCCGGGGATTTGAAGAGCTTGGCCCGCGACTCTTACTTTGAGGCACAGGCGTTGTGGAGCTCGTTGCGGGTCTCATTGGAGTGAGGTATCCTTCACCAGTATTATTTCCAAATAGCTGAGGCTGTGAAGTCGAGAAAGGATTATTTCGTGGAGCAGGCGTATTGGCGTATCCTGATGGTGGCCCTTCCTCTGGATACCTACCTACGTAGCTTAAATAATCCGGTTGCTGATTTGATTTCGGGGGTAAGTATGATATTGAGGTGCTGGGCGATATGCCTCTTGTATTTGATGTCGTACGGCCTGCGGGAGGAGACGGTTCGGAGAGGTCGATCAAAAGGTCGGAATTGGATGTATTGAGGGCTGTAGCCGCAGCATCAGTAGCAAGAGAGCTTGATGCGCCAGGCCGTGAGTTTCGGGTCGGACTAGAGGCCTGGAGGTAGTCTGACAGATAGGATGTTTTGGGCTGTCGAGGCGACTCGTTACTGAAAAATATCCCCTTCCGCGAGCTGGGCTCGACGGGCTGATTCTGCTTAGGCGCAGTTGTCGCAGCACCTGACTTGGAGAGGCGGGAAATAGAACTCCATGCTAAACCCGCCGCCCTAGATGCCGATGCTGCAGGTCGGGATTCAGGACGCTCAATCCGCTCGCTGGTATCTTGATCTTTCGAACTGGCGCTCTTCTTGGGGTCCTTGGTCCGTAACGTCGTTAACATAGTCCTCTTTTCCGGACTTGAGGTTCTGGATAGTGTATTTGAGGATGGGGCATATAAGAGAGGAGACAATGGAAATGGGGAAGGCGAAGTGCGTCCATAAGCAGACTCTCCGCTTGATCGTCGTCTGCCTATCTGTTCTCCGCTCACAGTGTGCGGGAATGATGGCCTCCGATTGGACACAGGAACGGGGACTCGTGGTGGTGGCCGTGAGAGTTGCGAATAGGTGAATGACGGTACTGTGCCATCTGCAAGCCAACCGGGCGTGGTGGATGCGCTTGACGCTGTGTCTTCTTGCCCGTTCAGTTGTACTTTCCCAGTTTCCTGCTCCCCTAGGGCAGCGCGGGGTGTCACTTGCTGAACGCCGGCTTCCTTGCGGCTTTCATTCAGCGCATTTAGTAAATCCACGCGCTCTTTACATTGTAGTTCCAAGTCACGCAGCGAATCGTAGAGGGCCTTCTCGGTTTCTGTTTTGGGGACATAGTTCGTGGGAATTTTGTGGGTGTTATAGTGCTGTAAGGTCCTAAGCGCTGAGCGCCACGATCTAAGAGCTTCCGCCTCATTATTCTAGACAGCACAGGAACCCGGAATGGTCAGTTTTAAACGATTCACAGGGGTAGAAATGAAAATATATCGAACAAAAAAATATCGAGGTTACGAGGACGAAGGGGCTTGTTGGGCCATCAATGACCCGTCCTGCCAATCGCCACCAAGACAGATGCAACCAAATATACAATACAACTCACCTGGCCTTCAAAAAACACAGCCGTCGAGCACATTAGATAGCATTCATCGTAGGTTTTCTGCATCGTAGACGAGGGCTTTGAACGCATCATTGACTCGATAGAGGCGGCAGGACCAATCCCGCCATGTGAAGCTGGCTATCTGCGATATCCGAAAACTAGGTATGTCTGTGTAGCTTCCCCGCGCAGTTAAAACAACGAAGAGGTGCAATTGCTCCGGTTTATGTTTGACGGTTCAGCTAGCCCTGGGGTGTAGATTTCGTTCAGGGCGGCGAGGGTGTTGTTGTCTGTCGTTTGGAGGTTGGAGGGGGGAGTGAGTGCGCTGCTTTTGTGGTTCGGGACCCGTGACTGGTTCCGCTGGGTGAGTTGCCTCCGCCCGGACACTACTAACCTCCAGCTAGGAGTGTCCTGGATAGATGCGTAAGGCATGGAGATTGGCATAGTGGGATACTTGTCTGAGACTATGAAGCTATTGGCATCTGGGAAGGTTGGCAGGCTGTCTGGCTGCTGGTGACGTGGGCTAAGAAACAGCCTTGATGCAGTGGGGAAGGGGAACGAGGGCTAATGTATTGTATGTATTTATATGGAATTGTATGTATATGGACCTTAAGTTTCTAAGTTCTCAATATCAACAACTCGCATTTACTCCGTCCTTATTTATTTTCAGCTTTAATCAATTGCCAACTGGCTCTGCGAAGGGACCACGATGCCCCCGTAACTAAAACAATGAGTAAAAAGAGTTTATTGCAACCGCAGAGTAGACATAGTTATCTTCCTTTAACATCGAAGGAAACCGCTGTCCCATATTTCAATTCTATAAGTAATTTAAAGAACCACATGCAAGGCCCCCTCTCTGCTAATATTCTCTCCAATTCGAAACGAAGAAAATTGACAGAAACAATGCGCCGGTTTCGGAGACAAAAGGGTGAGGTGAGAGTGGAACGAATTAAAAAAAAAGAGAAAATAATTGAGATATCAGCGGGAAAAATTGAATAAAAAAAAAAAAAAAAAGAAAAAAAAAAGAAAATACACAGCATCCAAATGGGATGATAATGTAGAATCCCCTTTAACAACAGAAAATAAGAAAATACATGACGAGGTATGTGGAAAGATAGCGAAAGAGGGGAGAAGATGCGTTGGGGGGAGGGGAATGAAGGGGACAAAAGAACATATTAGTTTCATACATCATGTTCGTTGAAAGTTATATGTCACTTAGTGTCCCCACGGAATAGAAAGAAAAAAAAAAACAAAAAAAGGCCTTTTCTTTTCCCGTGCCCAAAAAACGCCTACCTACTGTAATCGATTAGGGTTAAAAGAGAGAAAAAAGAAGAGTACAAGAAATAGTACAAGGAGGAAAGGAAAAAAGAAATAAAAGAAAATATAGAGTATGCCAGCGTGGAAAAAAGAAACAAAAAACAGAATCCCAAAGCAAAATTCTAACCGCCGGGGGGGGAGGGATGTCCATCACATCTCTCTTCGGTTTCCGGCCAAATTGCAAATATAATAATCGAGTCGGGAAAAAAAAAAGGCACACACACATAGATGACCCGAAACATGGTTAAATATGGGGTAAATAACAAGATAGCATCAAAGAGGAACCCGTGGGAAAGATATTTCCTTTTTCCATTTTTCTTTTTCTTTTCTCTCTCTCTCAAAAGCCGCGGGCGCCTGTGTGCGCTGCTCTATGCAAGTATATTGTTGTTCTCGTATGTGCAGATGAGGGATGCTGGGTCGACCGGTCATCGGGAGTTCGCCAAGTTGCGTTGTGTTGAAAAAACGGAAAAAGGAAAAGAAAAACAAGCACAATAAATAGCGAACCAACTGTTCATGATGCTATATTACTGTTATATTTCACGAGAGTGATTCGGATAGCCTCTGTCGCTTGAAGTATGCCTTGGCCATTTCATATGAAGTCCTATATATTTTTGGAAACGGTTAAAAAAAATCTCGAGAAATTCAAAGATGTGGGATAAAGGGGAGGGCAAAGGGAAAAAGAAAAAAAGAATATATATATATATATATATATATATATATATCACATACCAGCAGATAGCGGTACTTGGCATGGTCACGATGATTCTCGGGCGCATCCCGCGGAGGAATCCAGCCCAGCCATACTGGCGTTTGATAATGCTGGCCGCGTTAAACAAGCCGCGCGCGGAACGGGCCTCGGCATCCTCCGCAGCTCCCCTGGTCTGTAGTACTGTCTTGATCACATCAAGCGGGGTGGTGATGGCCGCTGCAACTGCACCAGCCAACCCACCAGCGATACAATGGGTGAAGGGGTCGTAGGCCTTTGAAGGGTTCATGACTTTTGAGAGGGATTCGTAGGCGATGAACTGGGTGGCTGTGAATGGAATCGTCATGCAAAGCGTGGTGGGGTAGGAGACGTAGAATGCTCGAAGTCCTTCGGTGCGGTAGACGGTTCGCGCACATTCGATCATGGTCTTGTGGGTGGAGCCGTGGACCTGCATACGTTGCTTGATCACTGCTCGACATATAACGTATCAGTATTGCGACAATCGCATTGAGTAGAACGCTTTTGTGCGGCTTGGGAAGAGTTTTGCATACCATCAAAGGGGTTCATAAGGGCATCACTGGAAATGGTGGCGCACGCTCCGCTCAATCCTACAAATATATGTTAGCTACAATCTAATGCCAATTGCGGTCTTCCAAACGAAATTGGAAAATGTTGTTTCAGGGGCAGATGCTTACCCGCTGCGAATGGATGATGGCCACTTCCAACATTGCCTCCAGCGAATTCCTTAACCACTTCATATGTGCCAAAATAAACGGCGTGGGCAGGACCTAATTCGAAGAAATTGCGATATCAGCGCCCGATGTACTCTCACAGTAAATCCGCGGGGACGATTGCGCGGCCCACGCATTTTTCATATAGAGAACGCAACTTGGAATTTTCCCTACCAGCACCAACAATCACGCTCGATACACCCCTCCATAGAGCCCTCCAGCCCTCGATCCGGGATATCGTTGTGAGGGCATTGCTGAGACCCGTATACAACCCACCAGCGGATGGATTTAGCACTTGCATTCGAGTCTAGGCATTACAAAACGCCACAAGCAGTCAGTAAAAACGGTGCAATCATATGGCTTTAGGGATACTACGCGGGAGGGGAAAGGAATTAAGTGGGCTTATTGGCTGGGAGAGGACGAGAAGGGAAAAGTGAGATGATAGCGGGAAAGAAGATGAGAAAACAAGAATTTATGCCTACCTTGAGCAAGTCAACCGGATACATGACAGAGTGTTCCTATAATGCAATTATCAGTTTCTATACAACTGGTTGATATCGTGGAGCGAAAAAGCTAGTGAGCAGGTCGCTTTTGTCCAAGGACATAGCCGTGGCCAAAGTGACACATACCGCAATGCCAGCAAAGGCACCAGCCAACATATTATGCCCAAGGGAATAGTCTGGCGGGAGGGCTTCATAGCTAGATACATCCGGAGAAAACAAGTTAGACCGGAAATGTTAGCTATAATGTGCTAATATTTTGAAATATATAAAAAATATATTTATGTTCGCGAAACAAAAAAAGTTTCCTCGTATACACGATTGCGGGAAACGGGGATGGGAGTGAAAAGCATACTCGTATTCTTCACCCGGAACACTGTCTGGGGATGCCATGAAAGGCGGTTTAGTGCAGCCGGAGCTGCCTGACTCTACCTGGGCCCTCACGGCGTCTGAAGGGCGGAGAGAGGAGGACGCGGAAAGAGGAGCAGACGGCAGCGGTTGGCCCGCGGTCGGAGAGGGTATCGAGGCCGCTTCGGAGGGTGACAGGGTGGCGGCGGAGAGGTAAAACAGGCGACGGGAGGGATTGCGGGTAGCTATGCCGATAGATATCAGGGTCAGAGAAAGGGTGTCGTGAGAGGAGATTCGAGGAATATTTGTAGGCAGAGGGTGTTGAGAAGGGAGTTGGCAGGGGGAAAAAAAATAAAAAAAAAAATTAAGAAGGGCAGAAATTTGGCTCTTGTGGCGGCGTGGAGTCAGTCACGGCTTGGGGTATTTAGTTATTTATTAAGTATTTTTTAAGCTTGTGCTCGGGGTTTGCTGCTGTTTAAATGGCCAACAACTCAAATACTTAAGGCCGCTTATCGGGGATGTCTATTTCCCCCTTCCCCGCCCATTGATCCGAAGCGGATATTCTGGTTGATGAGGTCTAAATACTTCTTTGTATCTTCTATCTTCTATGTGCTCGACAAGAGTTTGAAATGCGTTCTGCGTCTTGGATGTTGAACGAGTTCTTGCAGCTCAACCGGGCGATTAATGCCCTACGCCCACATCACCTTGGACTAGCAATTTCGTCCTCTCGTCATTAATACGGGGTAGTCCTGTATCGTTAATCGCTTTTTGACAAGGTATCTAGACGCAGTAATGTTCCCCCATTTACGCCTCCGAACGCCCCCAGAAATTCCCCCTCGCCGTGCTATCCGCGACCCGGCTGACACCATAACTGGTAACCAGTGAACAACCCCCGAAGCAAGTTACGGGAAGAAGAACATGCTCCGATTTCTCGGGATTTTATTCAACTAGATATATCCCGCTCCGTCAGCCCCTCGTCTCCGCCCCGAACCAAAAAGTGTGGTTGATAGAGATCTCGCGGAAATCGCGTTGTCATAAGGGCCTGGGAATTTGCCCATAGAGCGAGTATGTAGGTGGGAATAATAATAATAATGAACAGAAGATGATGAAAGTCTCCAATGCCAAGTCGTCAAGGATGAGGGATGAGGAATGAGGCGCATGGCATGGGGCTTGGTTTCGTATATCTATCCACCTGAAGTCACAGGCTTCCTATATAAAAAATTGATTCCATGCCGCCAATTTTCGTCCAGTCCTGATGCCTTCCCTGCCTTATTTTGAGAACACACACCTGGTTGATGATCTCCATAATAACCAATTGGCCCGGAATTTAAAAAAGGGATTAACGAAACTCTCGTTTGGTACGATATTTACGCTACGTATTCTCTTTCTCTCTATTCGCAGAGTCGCCTTCCCAAGTTACATTATTGGATGGCGGAGATAGTCAAAAAAGGGACACGGCTGGGGCATTCCAGTGTCTTATCAGATCCGCCCGCCCACTCTCGCAACCTCCACATTCCGTCTAGCCTTGCGCTGGTCGAGTGCTACTAGTCTGTTAGGCGCAGGTTGCGGATCCCGCCGGCATCTGATAAGTGATGACTGCAAGGGAAATCTTTGCCCTCGGAGCTCTAGGCTTAAAGTTCGCGACTTTGACAGCAGTCTTGTATGCTTCCTTGTTTGATCATTCTTATAGCTTCATAGGTAGCTGACAAATAGAATTTTTTTTTTTTTTTTTTTTTTTTTTTTTTTTTAAAGAAAAAGATTGTAAAAAAAGAATATTGGGCAATGTACGGAGTATAGTATAGTACATTACACCAATCTTTATTTAGCCTAGCGCGGCCACCCTCGTCTGGCAGCTCTACTCCGTATAGCGTAATCTCTAGCTACTCTTCCTTCCACCTCCATCCATCAACCCATAGGCAATAAATAATACAGAGTATAGACTCCCTTGTTATCCCTCCACCCTCCGCCCTCAGTCGATGTGGCCCCGCGTAAAGCAAAATGAAACATGCAAAATGCAAAATGCTGGGCGGCAGCCCTCATTTCTAAAGGACCAAGGTAAAGCGATCCGTCCTTTTGGCTGCATGCTTCAACTCATCCTAGAGAGAGAAGTGGCCTCAAGGTATCAAGAAGGAACGGCCACAGTCTCATCGGAGCACACATCTAGAAGAGATATACAACACATCCAGGAACAAACTGTATCAAAAGACAGGAATGCCGGATCAAAACCCACTTCTAGTTCAGAGGCATGCAACTCTCCTCCTGCCAACTATGTTTTAAAGCCAACTCAAGTCAAGTTTCCACAGTCTAGGGATCGAAAACAAAAACTATCTCGAGAAGACGAAACCACCCTCCCTTCTACTGCCACTCCGTCTCCAAAGAGGCTGCGGACATAATCCTCCATGATTTCCTATCCAGCAAGCACAGCGGTTGGAGTCAGCAAAAAGGAGATCAACCCACTTGAACACTGGAGGAAGAATTTCCGTTGGCCTGAGGAATACTTCAAGTCGGAGGGTAACATGGATCATCTGCTTGCGAGAAAGAAATCTCCTTCATCCCTTCGCGCCAAACAATTGGAAGCTGACTCCACACCTAGCTCTGCCACACCTAGCGATCAAATGCAGAGAGAAGCCAAAAGCAATCCTTACACACACCCAAGCTATGAGACTGTACTTGCCATCAGGGGTAGCTTTATGGTCAAGTCCGACTTGGGTATCACAAATGCAAGCAAGAGACTCTGCCAAATTTTACTTGAGGCAGAGCAATCAGTCCCTCGAAATTCGCTGTTTTGTGACGATTTGTTCGACGAAACTTGTGAGAGTGTGCAAGCAAGAAATGAAGCTATGGTTGTGCGAGACATTTCCCCACTAATATGTCCATCTGTTCAACTCCTAAGGATCTATGGCATGAAGCATCATAAGCTTTTAAAATGAAAGTGTCAATGAAGGCTGGGATAGTGCTATACCCTTCTATGGACCTAGTCCACAACCTGATTATTCTGTGGGATTTGGACGATCTGCGTTCACAGACAATCAACTTGAAAAGCTTAAGCCTTTTGTTGGTGAGGTTACGGGTCCCTTTACATCCTATTTCATGGCCACCTAGCAAATGTATTTCCCATTCCTAACCTATGAAGTAAAGTGCGGCGCGGCGACACTTAATATTGCAGACCGGCAGAATGCTCACAGTATGACTCTTGCTGTGAGGGGTGTTACGGACCTCTTCAGGCGTGAGAATGAGCTTCATCAGGAAATCCTTGCGTTTTCAATCTCGCATGATCACCGGACAGTCAGAATATATGGCCACTACCCTATAATCAAAGGAAAGGAGACTGCCTTCTACCGCCATCCCATCCGCACATTCGACTTCACAGAACTGGATGGCAAAGAAAAATGGACGGCATACAAATTCACCAACAATGTCTACGACATATGGATGCCGACTCACTTGAAAAAAAATATGCTCAGCTATCGATGACTTGTCTATCCCCTGATCCACATTTTGAGGTCTTACAGCAATCCAAGCTAGGGGAATCTGGACTTTCATAGGGGTTGGAAAGCCGCCATCGATCCGACCAAACAACTCATGATATTCCGCACCTTTGAACGAAGCTGGCAGCCTATCAAGCCATGTTCGTTCGCAAGATGACACCTCCGATACTTCCCTGTCTCAGAGGATCGACGGGCAAGAAGTTAGAAAGCCAGAGAAAAGAGCTCGAGGCCGTACAAGACATAAATTTAAATATATATGAGAAAATTACGTGTTGACAATGAGAATGCTTTGAAGGCGATGCCGGTTGGGAAATGAGGTAAGAGGCGAGGCGAGGGCCATTTGTTTTTGCTGTAAAGTTTCGAGGAAGTCTCTAGGATGATACAATGATACATATCAATATTATTCATTAAAACCAGTGTGGATGGCTAAACCATTCTCTCATAAACTATTTTCTCATTTAATATCTATGAAGTTTCTATTTAATATCTTTTACTTTTTTTTCTTTCTCATTATTAATAGATATTTATAACAGGAAACTCCTGAGTATTTGTTTGCATCGGGGTGAACATTACGAGGTGATGGGCAGCAAATCTGGAAACTCTGCCGCAGACAATTTTCTCAAGCTGTTGGCTAGTTTAACCTTTGCAAATAGAGAGAAGTTGGGCTTGTTCATTCTGGCTCATGAGAAGCTGATTTAGATATCCTTCAGATATGACCACAATAACTACATAGTTCCGGATGTCTGCTCAAGAGAAATAATTTGCTAGGGGTGACACCCATTATATTTAAGTATATTACTGTGAGGCCAGAGAAGGAGAGCTTTCCGTCTACAAGGCTTCATTCAAGCTCAAGATCTTCGTATTCGAGGCTGGAATGTCTCCTTTCCCTCTGAGCTCAACAACATGAGAGTGGGTAGTGAGAATCTACTAGAGTTCATTGGCCCTTCTTGTCGCTCTCTACAGCTTCTTGTTCTCGCCATATCGCTCAACATTGCCAAAGGAGGGAGCAACAAACTATATCCTTCTCCAACACAACAGGTTTCTCTGTGGTAAGTGAACCCTTACCTGAGCTTGAGGACTTCATTCAACACGAAATTTGCAGATACTCCATGGGTTTACAACGCTGATCATCATTGGAAGTAGGTAGACCCAAAAGGAAGAGATGCCCCCATGTAGTGTAGGTCGGCTTAGTTGTCATGATATCGATCAATCCATCCTGGCCAGTAACAATGAGAAACCCACATATCTAAACTGGAAATAGAAGCAGAACACTTCCCCCACCCGAGAAAAACTAAGGTTCGCAAGGGCAGCTCAACTGAAATAATTACCCGCTGTTGAAGAATGGCAACCCCCTTAATGGGCTCTTCCGTGCCGGCACAGCTGACTTCAAACCCTGGTCTCCTCCTTGCACCAAAAAAATAAATATTAATAGCAGCTATTCGCGCCAGGGCTGCGAAGGGTTTATTATTTTACTTTTATCCAGATTTTCTCCGGCCTCCCTCCCCTCTTTTCTCGGTGCATCCCTTCCCCCCTAGATTGTAAATAATTGAGGCATTTTCCAAGCATTGAAAAATCGCCCATATGGATCCCGTGCTTGTCATCGGTGGGGTGCGGTGGCCTACGACTGACTACACCTAGTTAAAAAATAATACCTCGGCAACGCAGCCGACGCACACATTCTCGCCGCAAAAACCCTGCTCAGCCCGTCCACACTGGACGACAGGCCCGTAGACGGCGAAGTATTCAACATCACCAACGACGAGCCCTGGCCGTTCTGGGACTTTGCGCACGCGATCTCAGCCGCGGCCGGGATACCCCGTCACGAGCGTGTGGGTGGTGCCGCCGTTTGTGTTCTTCGCGCTCGCCGTGGTGCTTGAGTGGGACGTGTGGCTGGGTAAGTCAGTATGAAAGGGCGTATTTGGGGAGTTGTGAAAATGATAAGAAGAAGTGAAGGAGGCTTCGCGTGCAAGGCTGGGAGGGCGAATAATGTAATGATAAACAGAAAATCGCCCTAATATTTTAAACTTTGATTCAAGTTGGTTGCCGCGTTCAGAGAGGTAAATTAACTATTATTTAGAATGATCGTCGTTCTGGTTCAACTTTGCTAGGGCGTAATTCCTCTACTCTCCTCCTCCATTCTGCTATCGCATCAAGCAGCACACCGAATCTCAGCAGCAACGTACTTCTACACGAGCTTATTTGGAGCTGAGCCTAGACATGCAAAACTTCGGCACCTTTTGTGAAACTTCTTTTTCGTATTTTAGGATGGACTGGACGAGGAAGGAAGGGAGCGCTGTAGCGACTGAACTGGCATGTGGAGAGAAGACTCTACAGTTACTTAGTACAATACATATACCACAGTCGGATTGCAAGTACACATCTATCTATGTCGTTCTATATATTTGGTTCCTAAAAAGAGCATTTATGTGAATTAGCTTTAGTCTTCATCTGCGGAGATAACCTCACCGAAGCTCTGTGCGTGAGTGTATGTGTGAGGGGTTTGCCTACAATACTTGTAGCGTACATATATCCCATCCCACCCATCACAGATCTGCCAAAAGGAGGAAGAAAGAAAATAAGGATTAAATAAAGATGCCGTCCATTCCATTCCATGCAATGCTACCTACTACTATTATCACACAATGCTATCCCTTTAAAAATAAGAATAATAAAATAAAAACGATGAAACCAGAGTTGAGACAGACGCTATGTATCACCGTGCAATGAAAACAAGAAAAAAAAAAAAAAAAAAAAAGGGGGGGGGGGGGGGGAAAGGGAGGCGTGCGCCTTGTCAGCAGTCAACATCAACATACGTCCAGCGCTCGCCCACAACATCCATTCCCCATTCCCCCATTCCCCCGCTACCACACTTCACCTCACAGACCCAGACCCAGACTCTACGTCTTCCTCTCTAATATCAGTATCTGTAACTATGCCATACGGTATGCGTACGTCGAGCATGAAGTAGCTGACGCAGTAGGGGAAAAAAACACATCGGCGGTTATCCATCGAACCACGGCCCCCACCCCGGTAGGTACCTTTCTAAAAGCTCTACCTGCGATCGATATAATAAAGCTAGGACTAACACATAGAAGAAAAGAAAAGAAAAGAAAAGAAAAGAAAAAGAGATAATAAAATAAAAACGAGGAAGGATAGGGAGAAGGAAGGGGATAAAGAAAACAAAGAAAAAAGAAAAAAAGAAAAAAGAAAAAAGGAAAAAAGGAAAAGGAGAAGATTGAGTATGGAATATTCGAGTATGGAAACTAAATCATATCTGTATGAGTATCGTCTGGGAGGGATCCCGCGGTTTGGCTATGGTGATACAGATTCATTTTAGTCGTCCAGGTCAACAGTGAAGGTCCATTCCTCTGTTATAAAAGGGGGGTTAGCGAAAGTAAGTAAACCGAGCCAGTATACATGTGGAATTTGGAAGAATGGAAAAGACAGCGATTGTGAACGAGCAGAAGGGAGAAAGCGAGGGAAGGGGGGGAGATGGAACTTACGGTTCTTCAGATTCTCCGCAGTGTCGCTCAACAGAATCACACGCCTCTTGTTGCAATAAGCTGTTTTGTCCAGGATATCGACTTTCAGCGCCGACAACTGATCAATAGGTCTTTCGAACATCTCGCTAAGGCTTTCAACCGCCATCTCCAAGTCTTTTTGATTGTCCTCGAAGATCTCCGTGAGGTTATTACGGGCAAGATAGAAAGCAAAAGCATACGTCCACTTCAGAGTTTGTCGACATTGTTGAAGGGCCTGGGATGCGGTATCGAGGAACTGAACTTCGATCCACGACAGCCCCGATTGCGACTGCAAGCTCGTCATTTTCTTCTCGGTCTTGAGATACAGGTCCTTGTCCAGTTTCGCGGATTGCTCATGGTTTGCGTAGCGATTGTAGTAGTGGAGGTATCGTTCAAGCGATTGTCTCGAACGCGCCTGGGCATCGCGGGCCGTTGCTCCTGACTTCTCCTCGAAGCGGTTGCAGTTGTACCAACTAGTTCCATGCTCAGACCACGGCCCCATACACATCCAGCAGAACTCATGCTTGCATTTTCGACAGGTCATATGGTTACAACCGCCGTTTTTCTCGATTGTGGACGAGCATTTTGGGCATTCTTTGGTGTTTGCGGATATCCAGTTTGCCGTCTCTGAGTCATCTTTGCATTTCTTTAGCCATTTTTTGACTAGGGAACAAGGGGGTGGTTGGTGGTCGTCAAGGGTGCAGCCGAAGCAAAAACTATGGCTGCACCTGCAGTGGACGGTGGGGACTATGCGATTAAGCTGGCGTTTCTTCACCGGACAGTCTATTGCATATTCGCAGTTTGGAGCAGGACACCACTTCAGGTTCTCTTTGTCGTCCACATAGGTCCGCATTAGAAGCAGATGATATCTACAGAACAAAGGAGTTGATGTTAGCTTATTTTAACTAAATAAGAGAACGGGGGAACGAGATTCAACTAGGAAGTAATGTACCTGTCCTGTAAATCATCCGTCACCAGCAAGTCTAACGTCTTCGAGTCGACGATGCGATGACAATTGCTCTGGGGGCACTCTATTCTCGCAGCCTCTCCTTCCTCTCCGATTTTCTGGCCAAGGTAATGGCGATAGCATTCAACACAGAACCGATGACCACATCGCATAGAATACGTCTCCATGCCCGGCCCGTCTTCACAGCAAATGTCGCACATAAACCCAGGGACGATCTCTGTCTTTGGGGTACCTGAAAAGGCAGAACCGATACCGGCTTCTTCCTGTATTCTATCGTGGTCCTCCATGTATGACTCGATCAGTTTCTCCCTGTTCCATCGGCCAAACCGCAACAGGATAGCCGCTGATTCTGGAGGCAGGCCAAGTATCGAGGAAACCTCGTTTATTTGCGAGCTCTGTTCCCGTTGGATATCATCTGGACTCAAGACCTTAAAATCGACCTCGAAAGGTTTTTGAGTTTGCTTGACGATCTCCTTATCGTAAAAGGAGCCGCCAAGATCATCATCATCGCCAAAATCTGCGGTTCAAAAAAGGAACATAGCTGTTAGAACATGGTCATAATAGGGATACATAAATTACCCCGTGATAACCGGCGTTTAAAAGAAAAATATCGAGGACAGTTGAGAAGATAGGGGATAAAAAAAAAAAGGTAATAAGCAAGAGAATAAATTAGGCTCGTAAGCTTACCGCCCCCAAGGCTCTCGTCATCACTCCCCTGCATATCCAGAATATCACCTTGACTCGAGCCGTCACTCATAAAGTCATCGTCTGAGTCCATACTAGCAGTCGTTGCGGTCGTAGCCGGCGTTGCAAGGTCAGCAACGACCGTGGTAGGAGACGGGCCACCCGAATCCTCAAGGGCCTGGCGGACCCTCTTGTGAACAGGTACCCTCTCAAGTCCCGTGGCTGTTGATCTCGAACCCTTGATGGTGTAGTCGTCCACCGCCTGCGACGCACTTCTCTTCCTTGGTTGGGGAGGCGTTGTGAAGAGCGTGGAGAGTAACTTGGGGATGAACAATGAAGAGGAGGGAGGGAAGGGCGGGGGGGTTTATGCGGGAAATCAAGAACGAGTGTGTGTATATTCTACCTCGGCTGGGCGTTGTCCGAAAGAAAGCTGGGGAGGGTGTAGGAGCCTAGTAGAGGTGGTGGGAAGTTTCAAAGAGGGAGCTGGAGCGGGTTGAATAGGTTGAATAGGTAGAATAGGTAATGGAGGAGGAGGATGGATGTAGCATGGATGTGGGGGGAATCTCTCGACGGGAGGCTGAGGAGGGAGGGAGGGCGTGTGACTAGCCAGGAGAAAGTTGGAGGAGGGAGGAAAAGTGGCGTGGAAGAAGTATCTATTCACTGAGGGGGGGGGTTTCGGGATCATTGACTGTTGTTATATCGAACTGGGGATCCAGGAGGCAAGGGAGGATGCCTTGCTCTGGCTTGCTTTGCTGTGCAGTGCTTTGTGTCTCGTTGTTGGAGTGCCGGCGGATGGGGCTTATCGGGGCGAGTCTTGACGCCTGAAAAGACACAGCCAGGTATTTCTTTATCTGCGGCTAACTAACTAACTAACTAGCGGAGGGAGCCTTATAAATAGGTGTCAATATCCCGCTACTTACCAGGCAAACATCCCAGCAGCAAAACAGGCAATCAATTTCTTGAATTCAGCCTCCGATGAAGCTTCATTTTCATTCCAACATCATTCTGGAACCTGCAAACAAAACGAACGGGACGCCAGAAAACTTTAACTTGTCCTTTTGGCTAAATATAAAAAACTAAATAAATAACTAAATATCTACCAGCTGCCAAAGATATCCCGAAGAAACTCCTTAGAAATGCAGATGCAGAGTATTTGTCATTTCAATGCCGACACATATTGATGGCCATCATTGAATGGACCCTTTCGCTGTCAGCCATTTGCAGCTCAACTTTCGTAACAAATTGTCCGTTATACTTTCTATGAACCTCTGGAGCCTCCTCCCAACTCCACATCCCGCCAGAACATATTTCAAAAAGGAAGAGGAGGAGGAAATGAAGATGAGGTAATAAAAAAGATAAACAAAAATAAAAAGAAGGCAGAATTTCTACCTGGAAGGAGTCGTTGACAAGTGTCACGACAAACTAGCCCTCAAAACAGCGTATCACAGTCCTCTTCTATCCTGACTATATATATATATATATATACGCTACTCTAGGTTGCGGTAGCTATGGTGGAGACAGAGAAACATAACAATCCTAAAGATATCAGTGGAAGAAATCTATTGTCAAGGAGAAATTGGGACCTCATCCATCCTGAGGTCCATCTGGATACGGTGGCTATCGTTTGAGTATGCCAATGAGCCATGCGCTCATATTTCATGTCTGCAAACCCAAGAAATGACCATCAAATAGGAGGGAAAAAAAAAGAAAAAGACCACCCCTCCTCCCTTTGTTTTTTTCTTTATCTATACAACCATATCCATGCGAAAAGGGAAAAAGGACGTTCATTTTCAGCAAACTAGCACCCGAAATTGAAAGGAGACAAATGCAAACCCCTCCTTCCAAAACCTCCCCTTCCTAGCAAAACAGTCCATAATCCTTAATCTCAAACGACTCTACCACCTTCGCCATCGCCTCATGCGCAAACATCTCCTCGCGCGCCACTGCGCCCGCATCCGCTGCATTCTCCAGCCCGGCATGTGGCACCACGATATACGCAATGATATCCGTGCTCTTCTCCTGTAACCGGATCAAGAGGAAATGGCATGTTGACGTTGCCGCCATTGCTACCGCGGGTGGAGCCCCTGGTCTGGCACTCGATGTAAGGAGCGCCTGCGCCATATATGCCGGTACCCCTGGCAGCTTGGCTAGCTGGATGGACCGGGGGTTGTCGAGGATTTCGTAGCTGTCTCCGCTAATGTCGCAGACTTCGTGGAGGTGGAAGGCTGTGGCGTTTAGATCTTGCGCTATGGAGTCGTCGTCTCTGGTCGTGTTTGATGGGGAGATGTTGGATGTTGTGGTTGTAGCGGTAGCATCGATGTTGCTGGTTGCTTCTGGTTGTTGTGGATGTATTTGTTGGAGTTGGGCAAGGTTCAGGCGCTCGGTTATCTCGATGATGATGCTTGTTCGTGTCGTGTTGGACATGAATGCTTCTTGGTTATCGGGGACAGGGCGCATATCGCTATATAGATATTTGGTTATTGATGGTTCACAAGTTCGAAAAGACTTTTAATAAAACGATTTATTTATGGCCTAGGCCCATGAGCGGAAAACATTCATCCCATGCAACGGGTAAAATGGGGCTTCCGGATAGGAAGAATTATGTATGGCATGGATATGCATAACACGGGAGGGGATTATGACTAGACCCATGGGAGGGAGATAGTCATCCATTTGGCTCCCTTTTTCCTTGCTTCCTTTAAAGTGGTTTATCAAGTATCATGCTAAGTGATGATGGGAGCATAAAACTCGCATCTAGCACTTTTTCCAGAACGGCAACATGTGGAAGAGAGGCACAAAAAATTATCAGTAAACGGGAGAGCGCCACCAATCATAGCGTATATCAAGATAGAAAGATATAAAATGGAGCATAGAATTCATATGCCATGCATCTGATGAGTTTTCTTTTCTTTCTTTTCTCTTTTTCTTTTCTTTTTTCTTTTCTTACCTTACATTTAAAAACTCGGTAGGCAAATCCGCAACGATTGCACCCCCAAATAAGTCCTTGTGTGAGAATGTCGCCATGGTTTTTCTCCGGTATGGTAGGTGTATTTTGACCTGATTTGGTTTCTCTCTCTTGTTTTGGTGGTACGGTACGCGTTGAATCAAAATAAGCTGCGAGTGTTTCTTGGATCTTTTGGGCGGGGTGAGATATGAAACGGAAGAAGTGGGGGACTGGGCCTAAAATTGGGCTTCGGCCAGGTTATATAGTGTTATGAAACCTGGTATGCACCAAATTATTTCACGTATTTGTTTTGAGCTCCAATGTTGTTGATATATAGTTAGCTGAGAGCAGACAGGAAGAAGTGTAGATTGTTGATCGTGGGTTGGAACTGAGGAAGCCAAACTCTAATTGCGCCTGCCTGCCTCCTGGGAAGTGACGATAGTGGCAGAGGTCAGTTTTTTGTTGAAGTTGAATAGAAAATTGGGTGAATCTGAAAATACAGAAATGAAACGAAATAAAGCTTTTGAAGGATACCTTTCTATTGAATGCTTTTTGTTCTGTATTTATCGGGGCTCTAAATGGATGAAGTGGGGAGAGGGAGGGGAAACATTGTGCATCTGAAAAACAGCGGATGATTTTAACGAATTAAAACAACTACGCCACTCGTGTCTGTTATTTCTTGCATTCCTCTTATTAACATGTCGTTAGCCAGCTAGCACCTCTGGAGCATTCCGTACAATCCCATCCAGTTGAGCGATCTAGTTCCGTCACCTAGCACGGTTCGCGCTACAAATCCCACGGATTCAAGACATTTTCTTACGCATGGATCACAGTAGTAGTACTGGGTCACAGGACAATTGGGGTTGTAATGGTTTCTTTTAAAATATCTTTTGAAGTCTTGCATATGGCAAAAACAAACGAAAACACCCCATATAGATTTCACGAATAATTCATCATGTATGCACGATGCGTAAGCATCGTGTTGGAGGATGACAGGAGGCTCTACTCCGTAGTCGGAAATGAATCCCAAGGTTGCAACTCTAGGCCGAAGCTAGCTAGGAAGTTATGCAAGTAATCGATCAAGCCAGCCCTTTCCAGATCCAACCACAAGTGCCGGTGCCGCCTATCGCCTACCACCTCTGGCGACATTCGAATCGAGTGCTCAAAAGAAAGCCCGATTGATATCCTTAACGCCGCACCAACTCTTCGTTCCTTGGTTTATCGTTGACAATATAATGAAAATGATAAATTGTAAATTGTCGAAAAAATCGTCGAAAAAATGGAGCCACACCCGATGTCAGAAATTGGCGTTATAGCCCTGTATTTAATACCCCGATTGGAAACGGAGGTAATCTCAACCTCACAAGGATATGCAAGATATGTAGCATATTAATCAGGAATGGACTCAGTTATTTACCCTGAACCCAGCAAAACCCGTCACGCATCCAGAAGGTGTTCAACATATTCATCCAGCTTGATGACTCTAAACTGCGAACCCCACTGGGAACGGAATTCCTTCCGCTTGTACGCGCGACTAGTGGTAGTACTAAAACTCACAAGTTCGACAGCCCAACCCTTCTGCAGCGCACGCCCCACCATCTTCAAAAACCCGTCTGAGTATTCAGCTTCAGCTGCATCACCCGTCGCGAGTACTATGGTGGAGGGCGCCTCAGAATCGACGAGGCTTTCTAGGATCTTCAGGTGTAGAATTTCGTCTACCCCCTGTTCCACCCATCGCTCTAGACCAGGGCCAGCGTTCGTTTCAGAGCCACTGGACTGGCCTTGGGCATTGTTTCCTGTGGCACCATTGCAACGACCATTTCCATTGACACCCAAGAATTTCTTCTTACGCGGAGTGCAATCTTTCGACTTCTGGACTCGTTCGAGAATATTTATTTCATAGCCGATTTCTTCAGCCTCGTCGATGGCTGGAAAGCGGTCAGAGCCGACCAAGACCCTTTTACTGATCGATCGGCCTCGTTCTAAAATGAGAGAAAAGTTGTAGAAGGATAGAGGGACCCGAGGAACCCGGACGGTGATGGGGATAGCTCGAGCGATTTTAATGCAGTCGTGAAATCCCACGGAAATCTAGACCAACAGCATCAGTAAGGAGCCAACCAAGGACAATTCACAGTTTCTTTTCTTTTTCTTTTTCATAAAAAAAGAGCTGGACTCTACATTTGAAATGTCAACGAAAACATGAACCCCCGTTGGATGAAAATTCGGGTTGTGAGGTTTGGCAGAGGGCGTTTGAAGCTTAACAAGACTTTCTCTTTCCTTCGGAAAACGAGTACTAAGCATGGAAATCAAATCCAGTCTCTTTTCGGTAGGAGAGCATTTGAGAAGAGGCTCGATTCGCTTGCTAGCTTTGACAGAGGGTGATTTATGACATGGTGGACTGATTCGGGAAGGAAGGGCTGAGATCGGTTGATTAATGACAGATCTATGATGATTTTGTAAAATCGATAAAGGCTGGCGACGCTTGGGTGCCGGAGGGCCACCGGCCTCATCGTCAGAAGTCTCCGCAAGTGGGAAAACACTGGGCCAGATGCGGGTGTTATTTCTGACATTTTCTTCCTTTTTCTTTTTAAGTAGTATCTGGATTTTTGGTCTATCAGCCGTCTTTTCTGTAGATTCAGTTAGGGCCTCTACTTCTTTGAAATTTTGTGAAGTAGCAAGGCATTGCTCCTGGCTGAGATTGGCATCTCCTGCTGCCGTGTCATCGCCAAGCGGGCCCCCTCCGGAAAGTAAATCCCAAAGAGGTCCGAAATCCCCCAGTCTTTGGCATCCATCTCGTACAGTGTTGATATCAGGTTCTGGAGGAATGGTGGCGCTAACGACCTGATCAACAGGTGTCGCGGATTGGTTGCCTGTCGACAAGGAGTGGAGGAGATTGATAACAGGGGCAAAATCCCACGTCGATGAAGTCTCAGAAGTCGACATGGACATGCGCGGTATTACAGCAACCAAGCGCAAGGTGTGACAGGCGAAGAAAGTCTAGTGTTTAGGGAGAGTTACGGGTACTCAGAAATAGATGACGTTGGTAGAGCTTTTTAAAACAAGATTATTATAACGAGTCATGATTGTAACTAAGCGTTCGTGAGAGGAATGAACAAGGAAAAGAGTGAGACTATGACTCGAGGTTGACTCGAGGGGAGTCGGTGGGATAGGGTAACAGCAAAGATATAGGCAAGGGAGAGATGAGAGATGAGGTCGGTCCGATGCCACCTCACACCGCCTTTATTCTGCCAATGGTTAACTTACCCTAGTTACTGTCGGATAATAAATATTCCGTCGACACCCGCTCCGACTAGCGCGATTAGGCTCGACTACCGTCATCTTTCCATCATCGGTATCCAAACCTTGAGGTTGAGAAACAGGGAATGGACGCATTTCACATCCACGCGGTGGGAAATTTGTTGGATGTTTAAACCCCAGCTACGTAATTCAAACCTTCAAGAAAATGCTATAAAAGGGGGAATATCTCGTGGGGTTTGTTCTATCTTGTATACTCAACCAAACACATAAACTTCGAACCAAACACAAAACATTTAAAGTATTCCCATTTAAGTCAAACCCAAGACCTTCATACCACCAGCAAACATGTCGGACCCCGGACGCAAGGATTTCTCAACCAGTTCGTGGTCAAATTCCATCCCATTACCATGACCCCTTATCTAATAATAGCGGACGGCTGACCATTGCTCTGTGCACGACAGAGGCCAAGGAGGAGATGACCCCCGACTCTTCCAAGTCAACTCAGGATAAAATCAAGGAGACCGCCACTGACACGAAAGATCGCCTTGCTCGGTCAGTTTTCCCATCCCCTGTCTCCTCCCCTAGTTAGTAATAACCCCATTCTAACAATTATTGCAGTGGAATTCAACCCGATGACCAGAAGAGCACCGGCCAGGAGGCCTTCGACAAGACTCAACGCTCCTCCGATAACCAAAAGGGAGGCGCCACTCAGACCATGTAAGAAGAACCGAAATCCATCCAATGTGTTCTGTTTCTAGGCTTCCGCTGACTCGGTCGGTTTATAGTGGTGATAAGGTGAAGGGTGCTCTGGGAATGGATAAATAAACATTCGGCGTCGGTCGATATACCAGAGGGAGGCAAGGATGTTGCTTTTTGAGATGTTTGGCTTTTCACGACCTGTATATGCGCGATGATGATTTATATGCAAAGTAATCCATAGCAAATTGACAACAAATCAACCTTATTAAAAGGATTTTGCCCCGTTCCTCCCTCACGCTTTTTATTTTCATTGTCGGGAAGAGTGTGTAATATTATCATCTATCATTGCGAACCAAATTTTCGAACATCGTATCTCTTTGGCGGACAAGGCTTCGGTAGTCTTTCTCAACTCGTTCAAGTTCCTTCTTCGCTTCTTGGACATTATGTGGTAGTCCATGAAACATTTTCACATTGCCTTCTAGTGTCTTCACTGTTTCCCTCAGTCTAACCACATTCTCTTCCTCAACCATTAGCTCCTCAATTCGTAGCCCTTTATCTCTTCCGATTTTTTCAAAGGTTGAAATCCTATTGTGGTATTCATCAACCTTTGTGCCAAGTAGCTTTGTCCCCCTCACCCAGTCAGCGGTTTGGACTGGTAAATCTGCGGGGGTTTCGTATCTTTCCTCATTTTTAAGTTCTTTCATCTGTGAGTGTAGAGCTCCGAGCTCTTTATCGAGATATGATTGTAACAGTTCAATTTTGCGTACTTGTTCAGCAGCATCGAATTCTTCCCTTGTAAGATCCACAATGCGATGACCCAGGTCGCTGATGGTGGTGGTAAAGGTTCCCAGCAACACAGCCGTTTCAGCGAGTTCATCCAAGAACTTAACACCCTTATCATCAAGGTTCGATTCTATGGTATCGAGAAGTTCTGTTGGAGAATCTGGGTTGGTTTCTTCCTGAGCTAAAAGATTGCGAATCGTTTCTTCTCGTGCGGCATGAAGGAGGGCACCTTCATCGTCCGCCGCATCGTTGGCAGCAGCGAGCGCAAGAAGTGTCTTCAGGGTGTCTTCATTTCGTTCAAAATGAGGTACAGGGTTTGGTGAATATTTTCGGTTGAGCCAGCTGTTGATATATGCCCAGTCCTTTGCTCGTGAGGCAGCTTGCCGTGCTTTGGACGGCGAGATCAGTGGCGTGTCCATTGGTGAATTGGGGTCCATCTCGCCCTCATCGATGAGACGTGAAGCAGGGCTTAGAATAAATCTATTAGTTCACAGAATATTAATAGGGCCACACGCTGTAGTCCGGAGGTCTAGTTTTTGGACGGAAGTTTGTTTTCGTTGCTGGAGGGCAGGAATAAATTTAATCCGTGAAATCAAGCACGATTTCGCGAAGGCTAAATAAAGGTTGAACAGACCATAGTCGGGACTGGCAGCAGCAATTTTCAATCGATTGCGAAGATATGTCGAATTATTTTTCGAGTCCTCTGGGGTCAACAAGCCCCTCATCTAATGGTGCAGGGCAATCCCCTCTCTCACCACCCGGAGTTGCTGCTCCTCGTTCCACCGCACTCTCCAACAAACTAAATAGTGTCCTTTCCGCATCTTATGCGGACTCGGACATCCGGGGCGCCCTTGAAATCTTAGACGATAGGGGAATTCAAAACACCCCAGAGACGAGGAGGCAGTTGAAACTTGATGTCCAAAAGGAAGTTATTGACAGCAATGGCAAGATTGTGCAGGATTTTAGCAAAGTTGCGGAGGTAAACGAAGCGAAGATCTCCTCCTCTATACAAGTGGTTATGTGCTAACCGTAGTTTCATGTAGCAACTCAAAAGAATCGGGACCGTTATTTCAAGTCTTAACAATGCATGCGAGGAGATGCGCAGGCACATAGTCTTAGCATCACAAGAAACAGCGCCCGTTCTAGAGGAGGCTACGATATTGATGAGCCAGCGACGAGAAGTTGAAACAAAGCAGAAACTTCTAGATGCATTCAATAAACATTTTATCATGTCTGAAAACGAACTTGCATCCCTTACGTCGACCGCGGAACCTGTTAATGACCATTTTTTCCACGCTCTTGCACGTATGAAGCAAATACACAAGGATTGCGAAGTATTACTAGGAAGCGAAAACCAGCGGCTGGGACTGGAAATAATGGAACAAAGCTCAAAAAACCTGAATACTGCATTTCAGAAACTCTACAAGTGGATACAAATGGAGTTCAAGTCCCTGAATCTTGAAGATCCCCAAATCAGTAGCGCGATTCGCCGCGCACTTCGAGTCCTAGCTGAAAGACCCAGCCTTTTCCACAATTGTCTCGACTATTTTGCTGAGGCAAGAGAGTATATCCTTTCCGATTCTTTCCATACCGCCCTCACAGATGTTCCCTCTGGCCAGGAGAGTGACATGGCGGCCAAACCAATTGAGTTCTCTGCGCATGACCCTCTACGCTATGTAGGGGATATGCTCGCATGGGTTCATTCAGCTGCAGTATCCGAACGAGAGGCTCTGGAAGCTCTCTTTATAACAGATGAGGGAGAAATTGCGAAGGGAATTCAAGCTGGAGTCGCCAGCGAGCCGTGGTCTCAGGTTGACGAAGGGGAAGTGGTGTTCGACGGCCGAAAGGCGCTGAACGACCTCGTCACCCGGGATTTGAATGGGGTTGCACGTTCTTTACGCCAGAGGGTTGAGCTAGTTCTTCAGGGTCACGAGGACGCCGTTACACTATACAAAATCATTGGCCTTCTGGCATTTTACGAAAATACTTTTTCTAAGCTTGTCGGACGAGAATCAGACTTAGTGACCTCGATCGCGTCCTTGCAGGAGTTTGCATTCAACCACTTTCAAGTCCTGATGCAGGATCAAGTTGCCGCCGTTTCAGCCGAGCCTGAAAATCTCACGCCTCCCGCAGACCTTAGCACGCCTCAATTCCTCACCGACGCACTAGACAACCTTATCTCTTTGATGAAAGCATATGACTCGTCCTTCGCAAACGAACATACGAAGGATTCATCTAGCGAAAATAAATTCACTCCAATTGTCCGGACGGCCTTGGACCCGTTTCTGGAACTAGCCAAGACGTCATCAAATACCCTATCCAACCCAACATCACGAGCCGCTTTCCAAGTCAACTACCTTCTCTCCACCCGAGATGTCATATCCCCCTATCAATTCGTCTGTGTCACACATCTGCCTCCACTCACCAATACCTTGACAACCCTAAGAACTCACCTCCTCGAAATCCAACATGACTTCCTCCTCAAAGCATCCGGTCTACACGTGCTTCTTACCGCGCTAAAACCATTCACATCATCACCACTCCTAGCAACCCTGCCTCCCAATTCCCCTCCTTCCTCCACAGCTATAACTACTGTAGAACGGACGCCTCCTAGCTCCCTTCCAGACCTCGCAACGATCTCCTCTTTACCTGAATTTCAATCGGCGACCCTCTCGTCAATTAGTCAACAACTCGATGATTTCCTACCTTCTGCACTGGTGGACGCAACAGAGAACCTCAAAGCCATCCATAGTCCTACTCTTGTGAAGAGCGTGACGGAGGAAGCCGCCGAAGCCTTCTGTATTGATTTTGAGTTTGTGGAAGGCATGATATTGGGCGCGGATGAGGCGCGAGGGAAGTCTGTCGTTGGTGAAGATGGTGACGATGCGGAAGCGGAGGAAGAGGAAATAGACGTGGAAGAGTCACATGTAGATAATTGGAGACTGCGCTCCTTGTTCCCCAGGACGACTGGGGAAATTAGAGTACTATTAAGTTAGGCTTTGCTGGACACATAGGGGCTTGTTCTCGATGCCCGCATATGTACAGTTCATTTACTACGAGGAATATTATAAGTATATCGGCTTGATATCTTTTGCATATAGTCTTCTCCCCCTCGTAGTTTCCCGGATAATTAGACAGACGTGTAACTATGCTCAGCAGATCCTGCACACTTTTATGTTTCTCGATTCCTTGCGTATCAGATCGAGTATTCAGAAGGCATCAATTTCCTAGCACGCATTTGATCAGGTATCTTTGATTAGATTCTATAATCGCCTATGATATCCTGGTGTGGCTGAGTGCACATATCGTTCCATCCCAAGATAAGAAAGAAAAAGAGACAAAAAGCAAAAACTCAAGAACTAGTCCAAATCTCATAAGGGTCATGATCCATTTCGCTCACGCTGACAGTAAAGTTTGAATCACTCAGCCAATCCCTTATGTCTCTCTCACCATCGCTTCCCGCCAACGCAGCCGCCTCCTGGGCGCGCACCGCATCCCATTCACCCCGCAGCGCCTCCTCCAGCTTCCCCCGCATGACCGCGCTCAGATACCCGCGCTCAGAATCAGAATGGAAGAGCGACACCACAGCAGCCCCATTCTCAATCGCGGCCAGGGCATCGTGATGGCTCATCTCGCCCGTAACCAGCACGTCCGCGACGGGTTTCCCGTTCTTCATCAGGATCGAGGAGCCGGAGCCGGCACATGTGGCAATGGTGCGGATGTCGGGCATTTCTAGTATTCCTTTGCCCTGTGGCAGAGCAATGGGGATGCCGTCGGGTTTATCTAGGTTGGCCATGAGATTCGCGATAACCAATTTTAAGGGGCCGGGCTGCTTCAGGGTAGCTATGCGGCCCATGCCGGCGGCTTCGAATCCGGGAGGTGGGTTTTGTTCCGGGTAAATGACGGAGCGGTTGTGGGGGGCGAATGTGCCTCTAGGGCTGGACTTGGGTTGGAGGGCGACGTCCAAGAGCCAATCTGCCATTCCGCCGGGGGCGGCATCAACGGCTGTGTGTGGGCTGTAGACGCTGATACCGTTTTGGGCAAGACGGAGGAGCGAGTCTTGTTGCGGATCGTTTAACGTAAGGGACTTGAGGCCGCGGAAAATTATTGGATCTATCCATTTTTGAAGAGTCCGGAGGTTTTGCTAATCAGCCGAGACTTGCGAGATAGATGGGGCGGGTGGGTTGGATGCTGGGACATTTGTCAGAACTGCCTCACGTACGGTATGCAATAATGATAGAATCCCCACGCTCAATTGCTTCATTAGCCACAGCCTTCGTCAGATCAATAGTCAATAGGACTGAATTCTTTTGTCGCCTTGTAAAACTAAATGGGGATTCCAGAAGCACTACAAGCAAGTCAATGTTAGCCGATGCTGACATTGAGTTTCAATCGGAGTTCAAAAAATCAACTCACGGCCGGTATTATCAAACGATTTATCTGCTAGGCATTCAGGGTATCTTCCATGACAGCAAGGTGTTTAGTTAACAGAGCAAAAGAATATTGAAGCAGCCCATCACTGCCATCGATGAGGGTTGAGTTAGCTTACAGTTTCCTCATTGAGTCCACGACTGCTCTGGTGAAAGGAGAACACGAAGTTGAATTGGAACTAGTCATGGTTGAAAAGTGCCTCAGAGCAGACTGGATCATTGGCCTGAGATGCGGCACCGGGGTATTTTAAGAGATGGAAGAGTTTGATGTTATAATTGATGATGAATTGTTTGTTCAATCTCTACATGAATATTTATAGTTCATGTAACCTCAAGATATTATAAACTACTCGTGCCGCTGCTTACTCACTCACCTCTAGTGAGTGCACCACATCTAGACTGACCGTGTGACCGTGTCTGGGACCAGGACCAAACTTTACAGTTGTCACATTGCCTAAAAGCATTACTCCTGGTCATGATTTATGTTCATCACATTGATCCCAAATCATGTTATTTCAAATATTAAAGATCCCAGATTCACTTTTCAAATAAAAATCTAGTTCTGAATAAAGAATATGTTTGAATTCTTAGTCACATTTTTATTCTGATCTCATTATTGAGAATGATATTAAATAAGATTATAAAATCACTTCTCACTTATATAATATCATAACATAGTGCTCATTTGTTGAAAATTCAATAGAAAGTATTATCAAATATTATTACTTTTCTGAACATAGATTATAATTCATATAATTTTAATTATGAAAAAAATATAAAATATAAAAAAAAAACAAAAAACAAAAAATAAAAAAAAACAAGAAAAAATCAGAATGAATAAAAAAAAAAAAAAAAAAAAAAAAAAAGAGAAAGAAAAAAAAAAAAAGAAAAGAAAAAGAAAAAAATAAAAAATAAAAATAAAAAAAATCAAGATTGCAGAACTGTAGTACTCTTAAAATACTCATTTTTCAGAGTTTTTATAATGTTTATTATTAACTGTGTATCTTTTATAATGAGAATAACACAGCTGTGATAAATCATTATCTTAATATTATCTAATAAATAATTAGTATATATCTGTATAAATGTGAATATTTAGAAAATATATACTTAAAAAGTATGATCAGAGTGAACTCTGCTATTACTTAAATAATATCAAGAATAGAATACTGAAATTAATGATTTCTCTTATTAATTTCATAGATAAGATAGATAAAGATAATCTTAAGAAATATAAAATTTTCTAACTTCTGATAAAAATAAATCTTATAGAGAGACTCTATTTTCATAATATTAGAGACTGAGTATTATTAAAAAGTGTTACTTTTATATAATATATATACACTTACTGTGATAATTTACTCTCTGTATATGTGACTGAGAGTTGCAGCTTTTTCACACTGTATAACTCTCTCTGAGATGCTGGTATCAGTTTGCAACTCATACAGTCTCTCAGTTCAGCATGTACTATATATATACAGCTCTGCATGCTGAGACTGTATTAATTATTATAATTTAATATAATACTTGCTTTTCATGAGTCATGTTTCATTTAAGAGAGAAGAAGAAAAGATATAACTATGATTTTATTAAGAGAGAATAAATAATTAGTAATATTGAATATAATTTAATTCTTCTATATTTAAAATTTGATTAGTCTATACTCTTTAATTTGAGAGTTTCTAGAAGTGTTTTAATAGTTTTCATATTAGCTTGAATTTAGTGATAAGTTGAAGAAGAAGAGAAAAGAGAGAAGAAAGAAATGAGAATAACTTATCTTTATAATATAAAAACAGAGAATTACTACAATTATTCTCTCTAGTAATAAAGATCTGTTTTCTGTATGTATCTCTGATATAGATTATATAATAACTGTATACAAAGAATATCAATACTGTATGTATTGAATAAAGATGATATTACTATATAACACTGTAGCTATTTCTATATATCTCTGAAAGCTGTTAATATTTTCTTTATCTCTTTATATTTGATAAGTTAGTAATATATTTCAATGCACTTTCTCTTTTATCATTATTATTATTATTATTATCATCATTATCATCATTACTATTATTATTATCACTATTATTAACATTATCACTATTATCACTACTATTACTATTATTATTATCATTATCATTATTATTATTATTATATTATTTCTAGTCATCTCTTCTGCCTTTATCTCTCTTCAACACTTATTGAAACTAATTATGTTATTTTTCTTCAAATATTCTGCAGTTCTGCAGATCATCAAGACATGTGAGTACTATCACAGATTGAAGAAAGAGAAGAAGAAGACATTTAAGTGAGAGAAGACTGATTATAAGACATATTATAATATCTTGAAAAGACTTTATAAGAAAGCAGAATAATAACAATTTTAAGTAATACTTCTGATAGATTTAGACTGAACTAAGTATAGAAATAATATGAATGATACTGTCTATGAGAGATTGAAGAAGAAGATAGTAAAGAGTCTTATACAGTAGTAGTGAGATCAGAAGAAGTTCTGAGAATAATTTGAGTTTAAGATAAAGAGAGAGAGAGAGAAGAAGAGTGTTACTGTAAATAAGCAGTAATAGAAGAAGATTAAGAGAATATTAAAGTAGAAGATAAAGAAGCTAAAACTGATAAGTTTTTTATTTATTAAGAGATAATGATTTTTAATAATACTTCTATTCTCTAATTGATTAGCAGGAGCTGATAGAGAAGAAGAGAATTGAGATCTTATTCAGGTCTTAAATACACTTCATAATTCAGAATATTGAGAAGACAGCCCTGCTCTCTGAGCATGTCAATCTGCTTACTACTGAGATGGAACCTGAGGCAGCAGATCAGAAAATGCAGGATTTTAAGATACAGATTAACCTGGCTGAGAGAAAGCAGCAGAAACCCTTCTCTGAGAAGGCAGCAAAGAGAGATTTTAAGATGATTATTATCTCAGATAAGAAGAAGAAGAAGAAGAAGAAGAAGAAGAAGAAGAAGAAGAATAAGAAGTGAATTATAGAGAATGATAAGAAGAATAAGAAAGAGAAGAAGTAGATTTTTTTCTTTTTATATTAGTTAGTTATAAGTTTAAGTTTTTAATTATTAATAATTAAAATTGATTTTGAGTTTTCAAAAATTATTGTACAAGTTGTAATCAAGTCAGGAATGATATATATATATATATATATTTAACTATCATGATTCACAAATTACTATAATGTATAAGTATTAACATTTTTTCAATATTAATATTTATAATATTAATATATTTTTAATGATATTATCTGATAATACAATTTGATAACACTCTCTTACATAATATTGATATATTTCAAGAAATATAATAGAGATTAATCAAGATTCTTTATTTACTTTTATACATTGATAATATTCAATCTGAGTTAGTACTAAAATTATAACTAAGTTAAGAAATAAGATTATTTTCTCTTATATTAGTTCTTCTTACATACATCAGTGATCAGTTATTAAAAATAAATTATTATCTTTCTTAAATTATTATTATATCTTCTGAATTCACTTCTTTCACTTCTTTTACTTCTATTAAAGATTTATAAACTCTTTAAGAAATCACTGTGAATTACAAAGTCTATATTATTTATAATTTAATACAGAATACTCTCTTTTAATTATGATGAATAATCACTTTATTCTTCATATCTGATTTCAGATCACAAAATTTATGAAAAACTTAATACAAATACTGAGATGATCTATGAAATAATTATTAATAGATTGTATTATAGATTACTGAAGAGTTATCTCTCTGTTATAATTACTGTAACTTCATTCAGAAACATTTATTATAAACTGATCATAGCTCTGAAGAAATTTTTCAACATCTGAAGTTATCAGAATGTAGATAATAAAAGAAAAATAATCAGAAAATTACTACTAAGCTGATAAGTTACTCTATCAGATAACAATTTTTGATAATACTAACTTTCTAATTTGAAGAAAATCATGTGAAAACAATTATATATCAGTACTCTGATTTCATAACTCTTATCTAATAACTTTCATGAATAATTACTTTATATATATATATCTCTGAATCTTTCTCTTCAATTAATTGAAAACCCTGAATTCTGAACACTTCTTCAAATGCTTAATTCAAATCTTTATATTTTATATCAATTCTGTCTTCAGTTCAATCTCAAGACATACTATAAAGTTAATATACAATATCTAGAATCAGAGTTGAAGAATTATTGAAAAGTATCTCTTACAGTGAATGCATGAACTAGTATAAACAATCTTGTATTTATAAGAGTTATATGTTATTATATTGATGAGAACTGAACTTATTAAGAGACATTAATTGAATTTAAATCATTGATCAGTAGTCATACTGAGAATTATATAGCAGAGATATTAATGACTGTGATTAAAAATGACTATTGAGATATTAGTCTCAGTCTTCTTATAATTACAACTGATAATACTGTGAATAACTACACTATGATGAAGAGCTTGAAGTAAAAATTGGCTTTGTATTTCTGAAATGATAAACAAGGTCATATTCTCTGCATTACTCATGTGATTCAACTTATAATGTAAACACTGATAAAGAATCTTAACATTGAGATGAAGAATAATGAGATAGCTAGTTCTTAAGATGAGAATGAAATGAAAGTGATTACTCAAGTAACTTTTATATCTACTTTATAAAAGATAATGTTTTTTAATAATACTTTTTAATATTGTTTTTTGATAATGCTTTTTGATAATACTACTGTTAATTTTAAATAGATTAACTAATAATTTAAATATCACAGATTTAAAACATTACTAATGAAATTTGTATCTTCTCTAAATAATAACAACAATTTCATGATATTTAATAAATAAACAAATCAGTCACATCACTGAATATGATACAGAATGTTAGAATATGATGAAGTTCAATATATAAGATAGCTGTTCAGACTCTTCAATTGTATCAGATAATTGATCATTGAGTGTAATACTCTGATTGAGAAAAGATTCAGATATTGAAACTTTCTAATATAAAGTGAACTCAGTTGAAATATATGATTGATTTACTGTTTCAGTTTTATAAGATAATAAAGACAGTCTCAATCACTCATACATCAATGCTGCAGTCAGTCTGATGAGTGTATAACAGTTTATTTACTCATCTTAAGAAGCAGTTGAATCACTTAAAAAGAAATTCAGTCTGAGATAATACTATAGCACAGGCTATTATTACTGTAAGAAATAAACTGGCATATTACTACAGCAAAACTGAACAATCTTTTGCAGAGTACTATACTGTAGCAGCTCTACTAGATCTCTCTGATCAAGTTAATATCTACACTTCTCAAGATTGAACAGAGAAGGAATGAGACTTATATATTAAATTAGCCTGAGACTACTACAATGTCAACTATCAGAGATTTGAATGAGTAGATGTTTGAGATGTGAAGACAGTGAAATACAATTTTCTAGTAAGTAATGATCTTTGATAACACTTCATATTTCATAGAACTATAATACTAACTTTGAAACAGAACTTACATACATTGATTACAACTGAAAATCAGGCAAAACTACATACTTGTAAAACTGAATTTGACTGCTATCTTCAAGATAATCTGACAAATTTACATGTTAAATCAATTCTAGAGTTATGAAAAATTGTTGAGAGTACATATTCAACTATTGCACTGATAATATGTGATATTCTGATAATTTCATTGACAGAGGTGAGAATGAAGTGAAAGTTCAACTCAAGTTGAGATATTTATCACTATCATCAGAGACAATTACAAGGAGAAATAATCAAGAAACTCATGATTGTAAAATATAGAATTATCAGATGATTTAATATCTCTGATCACAGTATATCAGAGAAGTGTAGTTTTCATGAGAAAGTGAAGAATAAACTTGTACAAGAATGTATTTAGTTATTTCATAAGTATTATCAATAATTGTTACCAAATTCTGATTATATAAGCAATCACTGAATGAACTGAATGAGACTGATTTTAATCTTCAGTCTCAGTCTCATTCTGATTTTAGAAGAATGATCATCTTTCACAGTTTATTCTGAGAAATTACTCTCATTTCACTGTTCTTAAATTAAATCTGGTCATTTTTCACATCATTTCTCTCAGAAATGGTCCATTTTCAGATTTTTTCAAGGCTTGATCCTGGTGAAACTCATGCTAAGAAATGTATGAGACCAGATCAAATGAGATCAAATGTGAAATTCATAGTCCCGCCGGCCAGTCTAACCATATCAAAATGATAAAAACACTGAAATGATAAAAATCTTGTAAATTCTTAATCTTAATCTTCATTAATTAATTAATAATCACTACAATGTTGAATAAAGATGAAAATATTGAAGAGTGTATTCAGCAAGCTATCACTGTCTATTGAAAAAATTCAAAATTCAAAATACTATCTCTTTCATAAGAATTTAATGTCCTCTATCAATGTTTCTGAGCGTATATCAATTAGACTGACCAGCAGGACCATGAATTTCACATTTGATCTCATTTAGTCTGGTCTTATACATTTCTTGATGTGAGTCTCATCAGAATCAAGTCTTAAAAAAATCTGAAAATGAATCATTTCTGAGAGAAATGATGTGAAAAATAACTAGATTTAATTCAAGAATAGTGAAATGAAAGTAATTTCTCAGAATAAACTATAAAAAATAATTATTCTTTTAAAATCAGAATAAGACTGAGACTGAAGATTAAAATTAATCTTATTCAGTTTATTCAGTGATTATTTATATAATCAGAATTTAATAATAATTATTAATAATACTTATAAAATAATTAAATATATTCTTGTATAAGTTTATTCTTTACTTTCTTATAAAAACTATACTTCTCTAATATACTATAATGAGAGATATTAAACTATCTAATAATTTTATATTTTATAATTATAAGTTTCTTAATTATTTCTTCTTATAATTATCTCTAATAATAATAATAAATATTTTAACTTAAGTTAAACTTTCACTTTATTCTTATCTCTATTAATGAAATTATTAGAATATTATATATTATCAGTATAATAGTTAAATATATACTTTTAATAATTTTTTATAACTCTAAAATTAATTTAATGTATAAATTTATCAGATTATCTTGAAAATAGTAGTTAAAATTAATTTTATAAGTATATAGTTTTATCTGATTTTTAATTATAATTAATATATATAAGTTCTTCTGCTCTGGTGACTGAATGGTTAATACAGCCACCTGGTAGTGCCTTGGCATGAGAAATCAAGGCGTGTGAGTTCAAAACCCGCAGGGAATACATTAAATTCAGAACTCAAGCACCTTAGGTTTCTAATAAATACAGAGGTGTATAAATCACTTCAATAAAATTACTCTATGTTTCTGAGATGAGAAGTTATTATCACATGTATTTAATTGTCACTTCTTTGTATTTTCTATGTTCTTATTATCTTGATGTGATCTCAACATCTGTATTTTCTTCTGTATAATTATTAATTAACACTTGACCTGTATTTAACATCACACAAGAACTCATTATAAGCTCCGCTTGTATATAAGTATAATAGAAGAAGAAGAAGAATAATAATAATAATATATAAGTTCTGTTTCAAAGTTAGTATTATAGTTTTATATAATATAAAGTATTATCAAAGATTATTATTTACTAGAGAATTATATTTCATTATTTTTATATCTTTAATATCTGCTTATTTAAATTTCTGATAGTTGATATTATAGTAGTCTTAGATTAATTTAATATATAAGTTTTATTTCTTCTCTATTTAATCTTAAGAAGTGTAGATATTAATTTAATAGAAGAAATCTAGTAAATTCACTATAATATAGTACTCTGTAAAAGATTATTCAGTTTTACTATAGTAATATACTAGTTTATTTCTTATAATAATAATAGTCTGTATTATAGCATTATCTCAGACTGAATTTCTTTTTAAATAATTTAACTACTTTTTAAAATAAGTAAATAAACTGTTATACACTTATCAGACT